GAACTTCACTAGTCTTTGGTACACTTGACTTCTCCCCGCATCTGCTCCACTCAAACCTGTTATTTCTACTTCCTATGGCTCTTGTTCTGTTCCTTCACCATCTTTGCACTTCTACCCACTTCCTCAAATCTTTGATGTGTTCCACTTCAAGTTCCTAGCTTCTCTGCTTAGAAGCCAAGGCGTGGAAAACTCACTGAGACCAAACATCAAGGAAGGAGTCCGGCTTCTATGGGCAAACTCAAACCTTATCCTATTGCCATCTACATACTTCTTTGTAAAATACTGGAGCAAATCCCTATAATGTCACAATATCTGTTACTCATTCTAAATCCCCCTCCAATATGATGCATCCGAAATTCTTTCTTGGGAAAATCTTGTATTTTTTCTTTTTTTTTTTTTTTTTCGAGACAGGGTTTCTCTGTGGTTTTGGAGCCTGTCCTGGAACTAGCTCTTGTAGACCAGGCTGGTCTCGAACTCACAGAGATCCGCCTGCCTCTGCCTCCCGAGTGCTGGGATTAAAGGCGTGCGCCACCACCGCCCGGCCTGAAAATCTTGTATTTTTTCAATGAGCCTTTGAGACATACATTTCCTACCTGGTCTTCTGTAGAACATGACAGTTAGCTTTTGAGAACATAAACTACCAGGAAAAGGAGGAGAGATGAGAAAAAACAAGTTTAACATTTTAGTTTCAGTAAACTAGGCCCCATAGCCAAATTTATTGACTTTTGTAAATAAAGTATTACTGAAAAAAATTAGTTTGTTTCTGTGATTTTTTGGTACTTGTCTGACTTGCCGGCAATAACCAAACCAAAGAAGCAAGTAACCCTCATGGGTAGCTTTGTTTACAGTCTCACAAAATGTTCGCCAGCAATTCAAGTGTAATTAAGAAAAGACGGACTGCGCCTGTAGCTCAGTTGCTAAAGTGATTGCTCAGTACTCATGAAGCTCTGCTTTTAAACCCTAGCAGCTCATAAACTGTGGGTTGTGGTGCCTAGAATCTGCTCTCGGGTGGTAGAGGCAGGAGGAGCAGACAGTCAATTCATCTTTAGCTGTGCCGTGAGTTCAAGTCAGACTGGGCTATAGGAGACATTGTCTAAAAAATAAAGTAAAACTGAATGAGACAGAAATGGACTTCTTCCTCTTCCTCTCCTCCTCCTCCTCCTCCTTCTTCTTCTTCTCTCTCTCTCTCTCTCTCTCTCTCTCTCTCTCTCTCTCTCTCTCTCTCTCTCTCTCCTTTCTTTCTGTTTTTGTTGCTTTGAGATAGGGTTTCTCTGTGTAACAGCTCAGGCTGTCCTGGATCTAACTCTGTAGGCCAGGCTGGCCTTGAACTCAGAGAGATCCTCCTGCCTCTGCCTCCTGAGTATTGGGATTGAAGGTGTGCGCCATTACCACCTGGCTGAAATGGGATATTTCTAGATGACGTTTTCAATAACATTTGTGTTTTGTAGTACATACCCACTTGAACTCAGTTTCAAATATCTTTTGATAATTTGAAAATGTTAAGGAGAAATGACGCGGTAAAATGTGGGTGAGCTAGAATGCTGAAATGCTCAGCTGAATTTACATGTCCATCCTTCGTGATGTTCTTTTTCATTCTACTTTATTGTTGAGATTATAATTTAATAACATTCTTCCTTCCCTTTCCTCACTTCCAGCCCTCTCATATACCCATCCCCGCTCTTCACCAAATTTATGGCCTCTTTTTTCACTGTTACTGCATGCAAATATGTATTTGTATATACATATATATTCCTAAATATAGTCTCTCGAGTCCCTGTAATATCATTTGTGTGGCATATTGTTCTTTATATAGTAAAATGAAACTAAGCATGTAGGCATATTCATAAATATGAAAAATCATCTCTAGAAGTTACAAAATGTAAAAAATACAGATAAAAGACAATTTCCAATACTTTTTAGTTTTAATTAGGAATCAAGGTTATGCAATGTCAAAAATTATGATTAACATGTGTAATTAAACTACTGGAAAATTCTGAGATAGAACTCTGTGGAAGAGAAGAAGCTGTTTTATAAAGAAAGGCATATAGCCGGGCAGTGGTGACACATATCTTTAATCCCAGCCAGCTCTTGGAACTGGCAGATCTCTGTGATGCTGAGGACAGCCTAGTCTTCAGAGCAAGTTCCAGGACAGCCAAGGCTACATAGAAAAATCCTGTTCTGAAAAATAAAAACGAAAGGTATAAAGATGCATTTTATTAACAAAAAAAAAAAAAAAGGAAAGGAAAAGCTGAGGGTACGTTAAAAAAAGGTTGTGGAAATATCTTATTTGGCCCAAAATGGCTGAGATTAAATGTAGCTTTAGAATGTTTTATTAAAATCAGTATTATAAAAAGACTGATTTTAGTATTAATAGTACACAGTACAAAGGGAGAGTTATCTATTTTGTCTATATAATATGTAATGTGTGAGTACAAGCATGTGTAAATTCTTCTTTGGGGGATGTGGATACACATGTCAGAGGACAACATTCAGGTGTTTGTCTTACCTTTTCTCCTTAGTTGAGACAAGTTCTCTTTGCTGTTGCATAAGCCATGCAACCTGTGGGACACTTCCATTGTCTCAGCCTCCCATCTTCCAGCAGAGGGCGCTGGGATATCTATAATGATGTGGGTTCTGGAGCGCTGAGCTCAGGTCCTCAGGCATTCATGGCAGGTGTTTTTGTCCACTGAGCCCTTTCCCCAGCCCTGGCTTACTTATTGCCTAAAATGATAAAGCTTATCTGGAACTGTAAACTAGAGTTCTACCCAAAGGGTAACAGAGTGCCAAAAATTCACAAGGCTTATTGATTAGAACTTCCTGAGAGTAGAGAAGTGGAATGCTACAGGTCCAGAGCCAGATTATCCCGGGCTCTCTTTAGTCCCCATAATAGTCATTCATTGCTCGCCACTGTCTGATCAAACATCTCTTTCACTTTCAGGAGACAGGAGAGGTGATGCCATAGATTTGAGGTGTGTTTGGGATAAAATAGACTACACAGTGAAACCCTTTCTTAAAATCAAAATATCAAGTCATCAGACAGCATGGCAGCCACGGCAGCGTCTTCATGCTTTGCTGGAAGTACCTCCCTGTGGTCCTCCCACAGTATTTGGAAAATGCATGGATTTTGATTTCATTGGAGGCAACCCAAATCCATGTTCCCAGGTCACCCATATTTGACTCACAATAAAGTAGCTCTTATTCCTTTTAAGGTTGAGGGCTGGATTCAGTTTATTAGGTCTTGGAATGTGAAAGGTTAAGTGATGGGCCTAAGAAACAAAGATTTTTCATTTTATCAAGGTAATTTCTTATACTTGTTATCTATCAGGTCTGACTGCTCAAAAAGTGAATCTTCTCAATATTAAAAGAGCTACATTTTTGTTTACAACTATATAACATGTTTGTATTTGCCTTTAAAATCTTTTTTCTTTTTTGTTAAGAATCTTTTTAATACAATATTTTCTCATTTGACATAGATATCCCCATTTGCACTTCCCCCTCCTTTCACCCCACCCTTCTCCCCACCCCATGTCCCATCTATTCTTCAGAAATGGTAAGGCTTCCTTCCCATAGGGAGTCAAAAATGTCTGACCAAGGCCTGCCCCCTATATTTAGGCTGAGCTAGGTGTCCCTCCAAAGACAATGTGCTCCTAGATGCCAGTTCAAATAGTAGGGATAAATCCCGGGCCCACAGACTGCCCAAGTCTCACAACTGTCCCCCACATTCAGTGGGCCTAGTTTGGTCCTATACAGGTTCCCCAGCTGTCAGTCCAGAGTCAGTGAGCTCTCAGTAGCTCAAGTCAGCTGTTTCTGTGGGTATCACCCTCAAGGTCTTGACCCCTTTGCTCATATTATTGCTCCTCCCTCTCTTGGACTGGTCTCTGGTAGTTCGGTCCAGTATTTCACTATAGATGTTGGTATCTGCTTCCATCAGTTGCTGGAAGAAGGTTCTATGATGAGAATTAAGGTAGTCATCAATTTGATTACAGGGGAAGGCCAATTTAGGTGTCCTCTCCACTTTTGCTTAGAGTCTTAGCTGGGGTCATCCTTGTGGATTCCTGGAAATTTCCCTAGTGCCAGGTTTCTCTCTAGCCCTTTAATGGCTCCACCAGTCAAGATATCTCTTTCCTTTCTCTCCCTCTCTGTCCTTCCCCCTTCTTGAGCATCCCCTTTCCTCATGTTTTCCTCTTCCTTCCCTTTCTCCCCTCCCTATCCCCTTCCACCTTTCCTTCTTCCCCTCACACTCCCAATTTTCTCAGGAGATTTTTGTCTGTTTCCCCTTCCCAGGGGGATTCATGTATGCCTCTCTTAGGGTTCTCCTTGTTTCCCAGCTTCTCTGGGGTCATGGGCTATAAGGCTGGTTATCCTTTGCTTTAATCTAATACCCACTTATGAGTGAGTACATACCATGTTTGTCTATCTGGGTCTGGGTTACCTCACTCAGGATTTTTTTTTTCTAGTTCCATCCATTTGCATGGCTTGGGCAGTTTGTGGGGCCACTAGCAGTGGGATCAGGATTTATCCCTAGTGCATAACCTGGCTTTTTGGAGCACACTCCCCTATGGAGGGACACATTGCTCAGCCTAGATACAGGGGGAAGTGTCTGGATCCTGCCTCTATGTGGTTATGTGACAGACTTTGTTGACTACCCAGGGGAGGCCTTACCCTCTGAGGAGTGGATGGGGGTGGAGTGGGCAGAGGATGGGGAGAGTAGGAGGAGGGGAGGGAGGGAGAACTGGGATTGGTATGTAAAATAAAGAAGTTTTTTAAAATTTTTTTTTAAAAAGAAACCCTAGCTAATACAGAAGGTTACAACTCTTGTTCATTTGCAAATGTGGAGAAGGGAGGCCCACTAAAAAAGCATTAGCATTGCATGTATATCAACAGGTACCACATGGTTTCCCCCACCCCAAAGCCCTGTAAGACTAAAATTTCATAAATCTGCTAAATTATATTTGATAAAGAACCAATTTAAGCCAGATGACTGCAGTAGCTGACAGAATTTTAATAAGGTGACATAGTAATTTAACACAGCCTTTATTTTTGTTTCAAAACAAAATTCCAGGACACAAAATACTTAACAAGAGTTGGGTAAAAATTAAAATAAAAATCACAGTTTCGAAGAATCAAAACCAGACAACTGCTGAAGGGTAGATCACTTGGCTTACCAAAAAAAAAAAAAAAAAAAGAAAAGAAGAAAAGGTAATGTTAAAAAGGGCTAAAATTAAACTGAACAGCATTCTATATAATGCTACATTCCCAAATTAAGAAAGGAGAGTTCACATATATAACTAAATGTTAAGTATTGAGAATTGGCTGAAATTCTACATACTTCACGGTAAATATGCATGAAAGTTTAATTGCATAAACTTCCTGAGTGGCTCCCATGCTGCATTAGGTCTACATGCTTACTATTTGTATTAAACAAATTACAGCTTTAAGTAACTGAGCATGACAGACCTTCAGCTGCACTTTCTCATCAATCACTATATCCACTGTATCTGCTGAGGGGTCTGGGCTACAAATCTCAATCTTAAATCTGAAATTATATCAAAAGAAATACAATGTAAAAAAGCTAGAAGGGTGACTAGTGCACATCTTAGAGCATTGTCCCTTCAGAGCTTAGTCCTTCCCTCGCCCTCTTGCCTGACTTCTGCTTTGTAACAGTCTGCATTGTTATACTTCAGAGAAATCCTTCCAGAATCTGAGCTGTTGATGTGTACACTCTTTCAACCATCTTAGTGGAAAAGAACTTTAACCTGGTTACTACTTTGGGCCCATTTACATTAGTCATCAAGGTCCCTGGATCAATGTTTGAATTTATCCTTCATACACACAAAAAGACTATTTCCAGGGTGGCCTGAGAATAAGGCTCCATATAAACCGCATACTAATTTTACTTAGAAGAATATTTTACTATGTTTTAGTGTTTTCATTTTGTAATCTGGATTAGATTTTAAAAATTTAACCCTAGAATTATAGTTACCAAATCAAAAGCCTTTTCTATACATACAAACCTTTCTATTACATCTTCTAAAGAAAGGGAGGCAAAATAAGTCCCTGGTAAACTACCAATAAAAAAACCAACCAAACATTCTATTCTAGAAAATGGCTTGCATACCACCTCAGAAGGCTCAGATTTTTCTTAATCAAACAGAACATGAGGTAACTGAATTGATGGCAAATATACCTCAGAAATGTACTTAGAAACGATGACTGAAATACAGCATTTACTAGTATTAAAAATGTACTGTTACATGGTAAACATGTGAAACAGGAAATATCCAGTTACAAACATTTGCTGGGTTCTTTTAAAAGGAGGAAAAGGGAATGTATTATTTTTAATGCTTAGAAAATACAGCAAAGAGAGTCAACTCCATAAACTACAGGGATTAGATAAACAACTATCTAAACCCTTACTACCAACTATGAAATGCATTCTACCATTTCAAGATAACAAACCATCACTGTAAATACCAGGCAATATTTTGAAGATGGGTCTAGGAGGTCAAGTATTTCACTGTAGTAGTTAAAGCAATTTCAACCCATAGCCCTTTAGAAACTGAGATGAGAAAGCATTCTCAGGCACTGGGACTATCTCACTTCAATACATTTGAAACATTTGTTTATTTGAAAACTAACTCCCACCACTAAGTCTTATATTGCCACCAATTTGATTTCTCTCTTTGCTTTCCATCCCCAAATCCCCTAACTTTATAACACTTAGGTATATGGCTCTCATCACTTAAACGCAGACTGGTGGCAGAATGATGGCTCCTCTCATCTCACATGCATGGTGAGTGCTAGGACGAAAAGGCAAGCCAGATTGAGCATCTAAACAACATAAAGAATCAAAGCAAAAGAGCAAGTTTCACAGGCAACATTTACTTGTGCACCTAAAACAGTACTGAAAAACGAGGTAGATAAACAAAAGTAACTGGACTGCAATTAAATCTGGGGTCTTCAGATGACAAACGTTCCATTATAACTTTAGAAAAACACTCTACACTCAACCCAAAAATCACAGCGGAAGTGCCTTTTAAACTTTCACAGTTAAGTTTTCCTGTCAAACTATTAGAACATATGCTTGATATGAAGCAAGGAAGAGATGAAAAACTGCAGGATTATTTGTTAACTTACAGCAAATTACTTTAGATTCAAGACTTCTCCAGGTATATGAAGGGTTTATCTGCACTGAATACACTAGTAATGGTTTCATAGTCTTAGGATGTTACACCCAACTTCACAGACACAATAGCAGTGCTTCATGGTGGAGTACTTGTGTTGCCATACATGAAGACACAATGCTGCTCATCAGATGTGCACTTGGAGAAGTAAACAGAGCGGCTGGACATACAGACTATCTCCCAAGAAAACTTCACAAGACAGTGGTTAAGCACAACCTTTACGTTGATTACAAGAAAGAAAATGAAAAGGTTTGCGTGCTTTCTAGAAATGAACAGAAGGCATGTTATATGTACTAGGCTCTTCGTTAAAGAGAACTTCTGAGCATCATCTGATTCATTATTTATGGGAGAGAAAAAGTACTTCAGGCAAGGACGGAAACAGCACTATTCTAACTAAGCAAAATTAAGAAATAATACAAATCCCCCTCTAGAAAACTAACCAATATTTACAATCAAAGTGACTATAATCCGAATCAAACAAAAAATAAAAAGTAAAGAAAACCCCACAGCAAAGTGAATAACATTGTTTTCTTCATTTCTGCACACTCCCTTTTTTTCTGTACGCTTTAACTTCTACACATTACATATACATAATGTATATGTAACATATATGTTAACCCAGATACTGCAGTCAGCATGGAGACAGCAGTACACTATTCCCCATCTTCAAACTTTAGAAGATGACTTTTCTTTCCAGCAAAACCTGAAAAGATTCTAAATATTACAAGGCACTGCAAACATCTGCAGGCAAACAATAATGATGAATTATATGTAAAACTGAGATGTTTAACAAAACACAGAACATACTATGTAGAGCAGCCACTAGTAAATGGGATTGTACATGTAACCCGTGGAGTTTTTTTTCATTCTGGGGCACACGGTTTAAAATGATTGCAACTAGAGAAGATCCCATCTTAAAACCTGTAGTATTTCACCTTATAGGTTGTTTATCTCAATATAATTATACGAAACCAACTTATAATGAAACACAGTTTTAAGGAACTATGGGTTTTAGGAGCATAGTTTTTTATACACATGGAAAACACTGCAATGCAAGCAACTGTACTACATTAACATCCTAAAAATCACTTCAACTTGCAAAGCAATACTATAGAAGGGATTTCAGGAATCAGGGCATATAATCCAAACTCATCCAAAACAGGATGTATTAGGAAAAGGAACTGTGGCTCTTCCCAATAGCAATCCACAGAATGCCCCCAGTACCAGTGACAAAAATGTGATGGTGGGTGTGACCTTTAGGTGAGTAATAGAAGACAACTTCTTAAAAAGTGTACCCACAAAGTGTACTGTATGAAATAAAAAGAAAAGTTCTTCTAGCTTTCCGGAAAGGCCACGGGGGTAAGTTTTTTTAGAGGAACATGGAGGAAAATCCGTTAAAGAAACACTGAACACAATTTGGAAAGGTTACCAGGAGAATTCTTAAATAGAAAAACGTATTAGAAACGACTTTCAAAGCTTCAGTGAATGTTAAGTCACTTGAACATGTGTACTTAGTAGCTGATAATATAGCATGTAAAAATTCTATTTGGGTTTCACAGACTGACTATTAGGTAACCCTGTGACTAGCCTTTAAGATTACTGAAGTTAACCTTCCTAAAAACCAAAGGCATACATTTTGACACTGCCTCCTTTCCTCCTAAAACTGGATAAAACCCAGTAAAGTGCAACTTGACAGTGAATTCTCTCAAATTTTCAAGAGGCTGATAAACACATCTAACATCTAAAATGGTCTAAGACTTTAGATACTAGTAAGAAATTATAACAACCAAAAAACTGTCATCAAAAAAGGTTAAAGGCAATTTAAATAATATCATCCTAGGGTGTACTATTTCACTGCAGGATGGTGTGTGTCCTACATTTCTTAGAACCCTGTAAAGCCAGTGTTTTATGTAAAAGTCTCAAAAGCTACAAACCCTAATGTGTCAAGTACATTTCACTTTAGAAGAATGGACTGACAGAAGTGTTAACCTGAATCTCCTTGTTTAGGATTACAAGGATTACCCCAAATGAGATTCACATCAGCTGCAATACCTAGCAAAAGAATGCAAGCCAAGTCATTGCCTCTCAGATGCTCAAAACCAAAGCAGTGTGCACATGAGAAAAAATGGCTGCTTTGTGTTATTACTGGAACCCAAAAGCAGCTCTAGTAGCTGTAGGTTCAAGGAACTGTTACAGTTCTGTTTTTTTCTTTCCCTCCGCCTCACCTAAAACAACCCCTCACTCCTACTGCTGTGATGACGGGAAGAAAATCACATCAAAAACACTCATGTTCTGTACTGCTTGACAAAAGTATACTAAAGTTATACATCAAAACATTTCCTGCAGCCAGTTACTTACTGCCTTCTGTGAAAAGTAAACCCAAGACAGTTGTGACAAATCCCACAAGACTGGCGATTGGAGAGTCTTACCTCATCCACATTTGGGGAGAACCAATCTACAGTTTTTACACACTTTAAAGAAAAGTATTATACAACTGCTGGTAGCAGCATAAAAAAGTGGGGCGAGAGCTTCTCAGCAACACATGAAAGTGTCCTGGAAATGGTAACACTCAAACCGAGCTTATTAAAGCATTCTGAACAGTATTTTTTAAAAATCAAGTATCAAAGAGGATAGGATTTGAAGTGAAAAACATTTCTGTGTGCAGTATTCTATGTGCAAAGCGCACATTACTACAGAATGATGAGCTCTACCAAATATCACATTGGAATAACAAAAAACACAGTTGAAAGTGGGCTCAAATGAGAGAAAATATGGCAGAACTCAAGAAGAAAGTTTAGTATCACAGGTGTTTGATGAAAGTCCTCTCCCCTTGTTTCAGCATCTATTTGGATTCACTTAGGACCAGGAGGGATTGATGCCGGATTCTGCATTGGTGAAGCTGGAAATGCCTGCAAATTCATCCCGGGCTGGAAGAGTCCCCCAGATTGGGCAGGAACCACTACAGACTGCTGTGCTGTTCCTGAAATTCCTACCCACTGTACTGGATACCCCGTGGCCCCTACGGCATTATACTGACAAACATGGGGCATTCCATATGATGATAATGGCCTAGGAAATGAAGGGAGTGGGAGTCCTTGTGGTAAGGAAGTTGGGACAGCGCCACGAATTTGGGAGAGAGAAGATATCCATGTTGATGTGTAGCCCATAGTAGATGGAGTATTCTAACAAAAAACAAAAACAAACATAAAAAAAAATCAGTTCATTTGGCATATTGTTTATCAGTCTATAGTCCTATTTTTTTAAGGCTCACTACTTCCACTATTATACTGAGTGGAGCACCTTTCTATGAGTTATGCAGTGGTAACATTCTTTACCTCAGCTCATTTTTAACTGCCCTGCCTTGCAGTATAGGCATTTTCAGATGAGGAAACAGAAACTAAAATTGCTAAGTAGTTCAAAACCACCAAACAAGTTAACAGTGACACAGGGACTTCAACACTGTTTTAAATAACTCTAAGGCCCATATTCACTCCCTGTTCACACTTTAGTCCCTACTTTACGTATGATAGTACTATTCTTTTGCTTTTACTTCATTTTTTTTCATCCATTAATGTGCTTTCACTGCAGGCATGAATGAAAATAGCCCATCTTACCTACATGATTCTCTGGACACAGAGGAATACAGTTAGTGTAACAAGGGGACCTGACATACAGCAGATGTTCAATAAAACTCTCTTTCTTGTTCCCTTCTAACTATCTTGAAATCTGACACTTCTGTTATTTTTTAAAGGGATATTTTATCTATCTATCTATCTATCTATCTATCTATCTATCTATCTATCTATCTATCTATCTATCTATCTATCTATACAATATTCTGTCTGTGTGTATGTCTGCAGGCCAGAAGAGGGCACCAGACCCCATTACAGATGGTTGTGAGCCACCATGTGGTTGCTGGGAATTGAACCCAGGACCTGTGGAAGAACAGACAATGCTCTTAACCACTGAGCCATCTCTCCAGCCCTATTTTTATTTTATTTTGTGTGCATGGGTTTTTTGTTTGCATATGTATATGTGGAAGAAGAGGGCATTGGATGCCCTGGAACTGGAGTTAACAGACAAGTGAGCAGCCATGTGGGTATGGGGAATCAAATCTGTTTTCTGAAAGAGCAGCCAGTGTTATTAACCACTGAATCATCTCTCTAGCCCTTCTGTTATATGCTTATACATTTACTTTTATTTTTGTGTGTGTACATGCATGTAGGCGTATGTGCATATGGAGGCAAGAGGTCCATTTTGGGTGTAGTTCCTCAGGATAACTTGTTTTCTGAGAAAGACTCTCTCATAGGCCTGAAGCTCACTAAGTAGGCAAGGCTGGCTAGCTAGCAATCCCCAACAACTCAACTGACTCTGCCTCCCAGGGCTGAGAGTTATGCATGTATCACAAACCCAGCTTTTTCATATAGGCTCAGGTCCTCGTACTTGCACGGTAAGTAGTTTATTAGTTAAGCTATCTTCCCAGCCCCCCCCCAACCAATTCTAAATTTAAACTGAAAACAGACAACTGTGCTTTGGGCAGTACTGAAAGATATATTCCTGCCTTGCCGGCTACTCTTAACATTATGCTGTGATTAAACACATGTGTAGAGATTATAATATATTCTTAATACACATAGGAATAATTCCAATAAATGTAAATAATTCTAGTAGCAGCCTCAAATTCTTAGTTCTACACTGAATTACCAAGCTAGAACTAAACTTTGAATTAAACTTTTGTTAGAAACTTTCAATGTAAGTTAGGATAAAAGTTTTTAGTTTGACCTGAAAATGAATGGCAAAATTATATTGAGTTGCACAAAATATTTTATTTAAAGTTCAGCAATTGCTTCTTATCAGTATTTTCTTTCTGTTAAAGTAAAATTAAATTTAGTGCTTTTGATTCAAAACAGCAATATAGTATGATCACACTTGAATAAACTTATTTATGCACATCTATGTATTCATAAAGAAAATTATCTGACCTCTAACATTTATAGAAGGAGATGACCATTTCTGGGTGGTGGGATTTGAAAGTGGTATTTTAAAATTCATACTTTTTTCCATTGGTTAAGTTATGTAATGAATAGTATTGTCCTAAAAACAGTGGTTATGGTTTTTTTTTAATTTTTTTTTCTGATTTTTCGAGACAGGGTTTCTCTGTAGCTTTTTGGTTCCTGTCCTAGAAATAGCTCTTGTAGACCAGGCCGGCCTCGAACTCACAGAGATCCGCCTGCCTCTGCCTCCCGAGTGCTGGGATTAAAGGCATGCGCCACCACTGCCTGGCGGTTATGGTTTTTTAAAGACTGTATTAAAGAAGTTATAAGTCTACTCATTTATTTATTTATTTATTTATTTATTTATTTATTTTGGTTTTTTGAGACAAGGTTTCTCTGTAGCTTTGGAGCCTGTCCTGGAACTAGCTCTTGTAGACCAGGCTGGTCTCGAACTCACAGAGATCCGCCTGCCTCTGCCTCTAGAGTGCTGGGATTAAAGGTGTGTGCCACCACCACCTGGCTATAAAGTCTACTCTTGAATATTCCTCAGATATCTCTGATTCAAGTGCCCAAACAAATAGACAATCTTCCCCTACCAAAACCCATTATCTGTTCATGTATGCCATTTCAGTGATCAGCAGCCACTATCAACCAAGTCATACAGTCATTCAAGTGCCAAATCTTGTCTATTCTTTCTTAAACGCATCTGTTCAATTCAACTTTTCATCAACTAGACTAGTATGAGTAACTCCTGACTTGCCAGAAAACGTTGACCCTAATCCTACCAAAGTCTGTCTTCTTGCTTCAGTCAGTGCTCGTCTCAAAAGAAATGATAATTCAAATGCGCTCCTATTAAAGACCTGGGGCATCATAACTATCCATTCTTCTTTAAAAAAACCACAGCATTCCTCAGCACTACCACATCTGAGAAGCCATCTACTCTTTCGAGTATGTTCATTACTCTCTGCTTTCTTTCTTTCAGCCAGACTGAATTACTTTCAGTCTTTTCACATCTCTTTCTTCACATCAGGCTTTTGTATTTGCTTAGGCAGGAACTAAGTTAACTCCTACTCTCTAGATCTCAGTCAATTTTCACTTGATAAAGGAAGCTTTCCTTAACCACTTACAATTGCATGTGGTGGTCAGAGGGCAACTTGTTGGGGTCAGTTTGCTCTTTCTACCATGTGGGTTCTGGGAACTGAACTTAGGTAGTCAGGCTTGCTGACAAGTGCCTTTACCCACTGGACCATCTGGCTAGCCCTCATTGACCACTTTTTAGAAGATTAAATTTCCCTTATTTAACGATATCTCCCTATACCTTTCTTTGTAATTTTATAATTGCAGTTTAATACTTATTTATGGTTTATTTGCTTTTACTCACTAAACTTGTGTCTAGCAGAGCACTTGGTACACAATAAAGTACTTGATACATGATCATGCAAACAAAAATGTCTAAGTAGGGCTACAGGACATTACTAAGCAAGAGTATTACTTGACCCCTCTACACAAATATATAACCAACCAAATCTAAAATACAAAAATAGTTACCACATATAAGTGACCCCTGTGATGGTTTAACTTTATTGGTGCTATTTAATCTTCGCAATAATCCAGCAAGGATTATCCACATTTGAAATGCAAAAACTCTGAGGCAAAAAAGATATAAAGTCATACAACTAGTAAATGACTGGCTAACATTGGAACCCAAATGTGTTAAAAGATTTTTCTCACTTTTATTTACATATAATTTTCTCCTTACTCTTCTTGCAAACACCTTCCTTTATAATCAATAAACCACCATCCAGCTAATCAACAAAACCTTCCTTCATACAGCACTCAGAGTCTCTCACTGGCAGAACCCATGCATTTATGTCTTGAAATACCTCTGAAGGATCTTAGATTTTATAAGTAATGATAGTATCTGAGCATCAACTGATGCCAGGAATAAGACAAATACATCTCCCAAGCAGATACATTGTTCACTACTTAAGGAAGCCAACATTTGAAAGTTTCATTCAACATTAACAATAGATGTACTTTTTTAGGATGTGTCTCGGGCACCAACTAAGGATACTCTTGTCTCCGCCTCCTGAGTGCTGGGACAACAGATGTGCATCATCATGTTTTGTTTAAAGAAGTGTGGTCATTTTCTACCTTTTTTCACAGTGTATGGTACCAAATCCAGGGCTTTTTCCTGTGAGGCAATTGCTCTAACACTAAGCTACAATCTCAGCTCAATAAAACTATTTTAACTATGTTCAATAACTATATCTATTATCAAGTATATACACAAGAATAATATACTCAGAGATATCATCTAATACAGGGGCTGAAATTCTAACACTTAACATTTTAACAGGTTTGCTTACCTTGAAAAAAAATTACTTATTTTAAATATTTGGACACAAAAAAAGCACAAGATAAAATAAGGTCCAAATTCCACCATCCAGCATATTGTTCAGTGATTTTCATCAACATATGCCTAACATGTTTGTCTAAATCATATTATTCTATAACTATTTGATAATCTATCTTCTTCCCACTCTAGAACACGCACAGAACTCCCAGATATCACTTATATGTACATCTTATCTTCTATGGTCATGTGTAATAACTGGCATCTTTTCTATAAACTCAATAGATCTGATAATATTTCACCTTCTATGGCCTTAAAATTAATTTTATGAATTAAACAAAGAGAGTTCAGATATCTTATTGGGTTTAAAGAACATTGATGTGTAGCATAGAACATCTCAATACTTAATTCTTGTACCTCTCTCCAGATGAATTCATTCTGAATATTTTGCATTTTTAGAGAGAGAATAGTGCAAAACTAGAGCCAGCAAATTTTGGCCCACCACCTCTTTTTATGTCATGTTTGCTTGTTTTCTAAGCACAGTAAATTGATTTGTTAAGGAAAAATAAGAACTCCTATGAATGGGAGGGGCTTCAAGGAAGGAACATTCCATAAATCAAGAGGTAATACAACAGAGGCACGACCATTTGTTTACATATTTTCTTAGAGTGCTTTTGCATTACAATCAAGTTGATTCTTGGAAAGTCTAAAATGTTTACTAATTGATTTCTTCATAAAAATTTGGTAACTCGTGGTCTAAAAGATAATTTGCCCAAAGACACAATAAATCTAGATAAGGATCAAAGTCTCAATATCATATTCCATACCATTTTAGAGCACTAATCATGGGCCAAAATCAATTTTTATAGCTTTTAATTTTTATAAAGAGGACAGAGGATAAGAGACTTACTTCATATACTTTGTTCCAGTTTTCTGTCTCTAATTTTTGTTGGCTCTGTTTGAGTTGGTTTAAACTTGGCTTACTAGGAAAATTTCCTACTGTTTCCTTTGTCCAATCATCCACCAACTTGTGTAAATCATCTGTGAACATCCCCTTTTTACTGGCTGAAGATTGTTGGCGTGACGCTGTATTACTCTCCACACATAGAGCATCTACAAGAAAAAAACAAAACAAAACAGGAAAAACTAGGTAAAGGAATTGCAACTGATAATTAGATAACATTCCTATTTTTTAAACATGTAAGTGTGTGTGTGTGTCTGTGTGTTGTATATGTGTTGTGTATGTGTGTGTGTAGGTCACAAGACAATCTGCAAAAGTGACTTATCTGCTTCTACTATGTGGATTCCAAGGATCAAACTCTGGTTATCGGCTTAGGGGCAAGTTACTTTGCCTGCTGAGCCATTTCCTGACCCAAGAGATGGTTCAGTGGTGAACAGCACTGGACCTGGATTTGATTAGAAACATCTACATGATGACTCACAGTGTCTCTAACTCCAGTTTCAGGGAATTTTGTGCCTTCTTCTGGCCTCCACAGGCACCAGCCAGGCATGTGATACACAAACATACGTGCAGACAAAACACTCATATACATAAAATAAAAATAAATTTACAAATCAAAATTAAGGGGGCTGGAGAGATGGCTCAGAGGTTAAGAGCATTGTCTGCTCTCCCAAAGGTCCTGAGTTCAATTCCCAGCAACCATATGGTGGCTCACAACCATCTGTAATGGGGTCTGGTGCCCTCTTCTGGCCTGCAGGCATACACACAAAATCAAGAAATAAAAGCAAACAAGCAAATATATGGCAAGAAGACAATGAAATAGAATCAAAATGCTGAAAAACTATCAAGCAAGAAGACCGTACTTTCAAAAAGGAAGGGGATCCACTCAGACAGCACTACACTGCAAATTAATGAAGGAGATTGCCTATTTTTCATAATGGCAGACAATATGCTACACATGTAGGTAGAGATGATTTAGAGGAATGAGTACCAGTTTCCTGAAGGTGAATCTTAACCTATGAAGAAAAAGGAAGAGTGTCTTATAATAACTGTGGGTATGGAGCTGGAGAGAAGGCTCAGCAGTTAAGAGCACTGCCTACTTTTTCAAATGTTCTGTGTTCAATTCCCCCAGCAACCATGTGGTGGCTCACAACCATCTGTAATGGTGTCTTCTTCTGGCCTGAAGGTATGCATGCAGGCAGAACACTGTATACTTAATAAATAAATCTTTTTTTTTAAAGTATGTGTATGTAGTAGAGTTAATGACGATCAAACTGTATGACATTTTTGGAGGACCAACTAAATCAGTTTTAAGATTTCAAAGGGTTATAAAGTTGGTTCCATGTATGAAATAAAACATGAATAAAAAAGTAAATGTTATTAAGTTCTAAAGACAAAACTATGAAATCTCTGTTTTTACTTTACCCTTTCTTATTTCAGAAACCTAATGCTATAATTGAGGGAAAACTGAAATAAACCCTTTAGCATATTTGGTATTAGTTGAAGTATTTTTAAAGGTCACAGTTGACCAAATATTACTAGTTCCTCTACAGATGATACCTTAGATATATGGACTATACAGATTAATAGCTGCCTAACTTCCTTTTTAGGGACATGAAGCACACTTTACCCTTGGGTCTGCAAAGTTCAATAATATTCATATTTTGCTATTGTTTTTAGTGAGCAAACTATGAATTCATTTCATATTACCCAAACAATACTTAATAAAAAATTGGACATCCTGTGATAGCACAAATAACTGCTCAGTTATTATACAATACTGACTTTTCTCTGTATCATATGTTCTCATGTGAAAAAATGATTCTACATTGAAAAGGACATTTGCATTCTGAGAAAAATAAAACAATCAACATTGAGAAGCATTCATATTTTTATCTGTCATCTTTTTACCTTAGCCTTTGGGTTAGATTTGTGTTACTTCTTTAAGGAGTGCCTGTGCCAGACTGGTAGCACAAGGTTGATTTGCCTTGAAAAAAAAAAAAACCCCAACAGCTCCCCTGCCCTTTCAAGGTTGAAGACACTAAGGTAAGAGTAACTAAGAATTTCAAAGACAAAAAGTTCTTCTGGACTGGACCTTGTGGTTCTGCATAACAGCCACTAAATGTTTCACTTTCCATTCCAAAACAATGGAGAAGAGCTTTGAAATCTTTAGCTATCAATCTATTCCTATCACACCTCCCTTTTCCCTCCTGCTTAAGGATAAAAGGAACTTAAAACTTACAGGGAGTTAAGATGAATTTCCTCTCAGGCACTGGTGACTAAGTAATTTTTCTTTTCTTAGTAACTTGTCCTCTACTCATTGTGCCCCTTTCAAGTGGTGAATAAATGTACTTGAGTTCATTAATGATGTGTGGAATCAAAAACAAAATTTTTGTTGTGCAAAGGCATTAAAGATGGGAACATGGTTAATTCGTGGAAACACTAAAAAAGACACACTTTCAGTGCTTATTTTGATGACTAGTTATTTTTCAAGGTATATTTTTATTATTTTAAATTATGTGTACGTGTGTGTCTGTATGAGTGCAGGTGCCTGAGGAGTTGGAGTTACAGGCAGTCATGAGCCACCTAACATGGGCGCTGGCAACTGAACGTGGGTCCTTGTAAGAGCAGAAAGTTCCCTTAACTGCTGAGCCATTTCTCTAGCCCCTGATAACTAGTTATTCTTGCTGACTGAATACCCCATAATTTAAATTTCCATTTAACCAACCATTTATAGAGTAAGATCTTTCTTTTTTTTAATATTTATTTATTATGTATACAATATTCTGCTTGTGTGTATGTCTGCAGGCCGAAGAGGGCACCAGACCCCATTACAGATGGTTGTGAGCCACCATGTGGCTGCTGGGAATTGAACTCAGGACCTCTGGAAGAGCAGGCAATGCTCTTAACCACTGAGCCATCTCTCCAGCCCAGTAAGATCTTTCTTGAATATAAGATTTTTTAATTTAAAATTTCAAAAAACTTTACAAATACCTCACATTTATGTCTATTTGTTTTGTGCCTCAGCAAGATTAATGGAGAATATTTGTGGGAACAGAGGTTTAGAGCAATCTCTTGGAAGCTGGTAGCACACAACTAAAGGTTGGGGAGTCGCCCTCTCTTAGAAAGGACATCAATAGAGGTAAAGGATAGGCCCGTGAGGACCTCTTCCTTGACTGACTGTTCATAGGGCTGCTCTTGGGTGGTCCCAGTGAAAGTAAGCTAACCATTACAATGGTTGTAGAAAGTCTAGGGAATAGTGTTTTATAGCCCTTTACCCTATCTTTTGTTTCTTTTTCCAGCCCCTCTTCCATAACATTCCCTGAGCTACAGAGTGGGTGGTATAACTGTACATCATGATTTTGATTTCTGTTCTTATTAAAGAATGAAATCTATTGTTTTAGATTATTTCCCAAAATCCTTGAAACTTTGAGTCCAGATGATAGGAAATCATTTACAAAAAAAAAATGATTTTTTTCATTTTATATTTTGAGGATCCTTACATAATAATATTATTCATTAATTCATTATAGACACTTATAGGATAAAATATTTTATGTCAATTTCATGAGTTTTAAAATCAACTTCATAGCACAAAAGGATTTATCTATTTTTATAGCAGATGAACTTTATTATTTTTTTTAAATATTTATTTATTTATTATGTATACAATGTTCTGTCTGTGTGTATGTCTGCAGGCCAGAAGAGGGCACCAGACCCCATCACAGATGGTTGTGAGCCATCATGTGGTTGCTGGGAATTGAACTCAGGACCTTTGGAAGAGCAGGCAATGCTCTTAACCACTGAGCCATCTCTCCAGCCCCTAACGGATGAACTTTAAATAGCTAATTAATTTAGAATTCTGGTTATAATTGTTTTCTATCTGTTATAAACAAGTAAGGGCATTTAATTCTGGGCCAAAAGGCAAAATATAAAGAGTTACAGCTATTTCTAGAAGCTGGAGGCTGTCAAAGCAGTGATACACATAAATTAGAAATCTAAAATATTTCCTTTTGATTGCCCAAGCAAAACACGAACATGTTTTTTATGTTATGTTTTGAGGCAAAGAGAAAAGCAACTATAAGTTGAATTATGATTGGTCCTTTTAATAGTCTTTGAATCCAAAGCATTTTTCTATAACCTGCGTTGTAAAACAAATCCTATAAATTGAAACTATGGAAAAAATTGAATTGCTAACATAGTTGCCTTGTAAAAATTAATAAATGAAGTCCTTTATAATGAAAAAAAGTTGGCAATGCAGTAAAAATATATGTGAAGAAACAAAAAACTGCATTAGTAAATATAATATTCTGTTTAAGTGTACTTTGTGCTTATATCTATCTTATTCTCTCATCTGATTGCAAAGATGACTACAAAAAGCAATAATTACACAAATTTGTTGATTTGCTTATCATATGTAAAAATGTAATGTGTAAAAAGAAAGGAAGGCACATACACAGAAGAAAATATATATACCATTGAAATTAAGATAGTGTTATTCTTGAACTAAGAAGCTAATTGCAATCCCCATGGCCACTACAGGAAAATAACTAAAAACATATAATAAAGGATTTAAACATTATAAAAAAATATCTATTTAGGGTTTGGAAACATGGCTCAGCATTTACTGCACAATCATGAAGACTGGAGTTCATAACCCAGCACCCAAGTTAACAAGTCATCCATCCAAACACCTGTGATTCTAGATGTTAGGGAGGCTTGTTAACTTCCAGCCTACCTAAGAAAACAAGAGCCCAAGGCTTAGGGAGGGACTGTACCTCAGAGGAGTAAGGCACACACACACTTTCTCAAATCAATCTTTTAAGAATGCAAGTTTAGAGGCTGGAGAGATGGCTCAGTGGTTGAGAGCACTGACTGCTCTTCCAGAGGTCCTGAGTCATCACGACCACCTGATGAGATCTGGCGCCCTCTTCTGGCCTGCAGGCATGCATGCAGACAGAACACTGTATACATAATAAATACATAAATTAAAAAAAAGAAACATCACACACACACACACAAAAAAGAATGCAAGTTTAACACAAAGGCAAGCAGGAATCAAAGAAGAACAAAAAGGTCATTAGATATGAAAAACAAATAGCAAAATAAAAAGTAGAAATGATTCTTAGTTTATAATTAAATTATATTGGAATGGTTTAAATAACCCCTTTATAAAAAACAAAGGCTGACAGAGTAGATAAAAAACATGATCTAACTGTATAATGATGTCCATAATAAATATTGTTCAGATTAAAAGTATAAAAGGGCAGGGAAGGTGGCTCAGTGGGTGAAGGCAATTGCTGCCAAACCTGACAACTTGATTTCCAGAGCCAACTCCCATAACTTGTCTTGACATCCAGATGCAAGCTGTGGCACATACTCAGACATACACAAGCACATATATAGAGACACACAAAAAAAATAAATTTTTTAAAAAATACATTAAAAGAATGGAGTGGTGCAACATGTAAGTAGTAAACTAAAGAAAGCTGATTGCTTATATTCATATCAGAAATATATACTAATATCAAAAGGTAAAAGAATCACAAGCACATGCAGCAGAGTTCCAAAATAGATGACACACAGTTTATAGAATTGAAGCCAGGCGGTGGTGGTGCACACCTTTAATCCCAGCATTCAGGAGGCAGAGGCAGGCGAGTCTCTCTGAGTTCAAGGCCAGCCTGGTCTACAGGGCAAGTTCCAGGAGTTCCAGGATAGCCAGGGCTACACAGAGAAATCCTGTGTCAAACAAACAAACAAACTATATATATATATTTGAAAAGTTTAACAACAGGTAGAAACTACTAAAATCCACTTTATATAATTGAAATAATAAGCAAAATTCAAATAAAGGTCATGTTTGGGCACAGGAAAAAACATTTGGGTAAACTAGGGGCTAAGCTTACTGATAGAGCACTTGCCTCGAGTGTGCAAGTCCTGTGGTTCAATCTTCAGCATGATACAGAATAAGAAAAAGAATATCATAGAGTGCCTCTCCTATAGTCCTAGCAACTTCAGAGGCAGAGGTAGAGGGATAATTTGAGCCCTGACAAGGCTGGAAATTATAGAGAGAATTCATCTCTAAACAAATGAACAAAACAAGTGTGTAAACAAGCATAGCATTTCAGAACAAAATGAAGTCTAACTATAAATGCCATAACATCAGACTAAAGGTTATGACTTCCGATACTGAATCTCCAAAGCTGTTTTCAATCCTAATCTACCCTTCAATTCTATTTTTATCAGGCGCATCCTATAGCTCAATGTAGTGTGGCCTCAAACTCAACCAACTTCCTGCTTCAATCTCCCTGTGCTGGGGCTAGAGGTATATACTACCATACATGACTAGTTTTCCATCACTTCATTTTCTTTACACCTGAATAAAATTCCACTGAATGGTGCTCCACATTTTCTTTATCCATTTATCTGTTGATGGACATCTAGGCTAGTTCTACTTCTTCACTATTCTGAATAGTATACAATAAAAATAGAAGCACAAGTTATGTGGTACGTTGACCTTCATTATGTATCTGGAACCAAAGAAATCCAACCCGAGGAGTAATTTCTTTATTTGTTAAATAGATAGAGACTAGTTTCCCAAAGTTAAAGAAATAACATTTTAGGGGCTGGAGAGACAGCCTCACAATTGAGAACACTTGTTGATCTTTTGGAAGACCTGAGCTTGCTTCCTAGCACCCATATGATGGTTCACAATTATCCTTAACTCCAGTTTCAGAAGATTTGGCATTGTCTTCTGACCTCCATGGGTACTAGGCACATAGTGTGGTACATATACATATATGCAGGCAAACATTCATATACATAAAATATAAATAAATAAATCTTTAAAAAAGAAATGGATTTTTGGGGGCCTGGAAAGATGGCTCAGCTGTTAGGAGTACTGGCTACTCTACTAGAGGACCCTGGTTCAACTCCCGGCACCCACATGGCAGCTCACAACTGTCTGTAATTCCAGTTCCAGGGATTCTGACATCCTCACACAGACATACATGTATGCAAATACTGATGCATGGAATATCTACACATTAGAGTACTACTCAGTGGTAAAAAACAATGACTTCTCGAATTTTGCATGCAAATGGATGGAAATAGAAAACACTATCCTGAGTGAGGTATCCCAGACCCAAAAAGATGAACATGGGTTGTACTCACTCATAATTGGTTTCTAGCCATAAATAAGGGTCACGGAGTCTACAATAGGTGAATCTAAAGAAGCTAAGTAAGAAGGGGAACCCAAGGAAAAACATATAGTTATCCTCTTGGCTAAGGGAAGTAGACAAAATTGCCGGGGAGAAAATTGGGATCTTGGGGTGGGGTGGGTTGGGGGTAAGGGGAGATGGGGAGAGAAAAGTTAGAAGGGAAGGAGGTCGGGCCTTGGGAAAGCAGGAGGATTGGGATAAAGGAAGGTTGGACAGGGGAGCACGGAACCACAATTCTTAGTTAAGGGAACCACTTTAGGGTTGGCAAGAGACCTGACCCTAGAGGGGCTCCCAGGTGCCCAAGCTGAGGTCCCCAGTTAGTTCCTTGGGCAGTTGAGAATAGGGAACCTGAAATGACCCTATCCTTGAGCAATACTGACGAATATCTTGCATATCATCATAGAACCTTCATCTGGTGATGGATGGAGATAGAGACAGAGACCCACACTGGAGCACTGGACTGAGCTCCCAAAGTCCCAATGAGGAGCAGAAGGAGGGAGAACATGAGCAAAGAAGTCGGGACCACGAGGGATGCACCCACCCACTGAGACAGTGGAGCTGATCTATTGAGAGCTCACCAAGACCAGCTGGACTGTGACTGAAAAAGCATGGGATAAAACTGGACTCTCTGAACATGGCGAACTATGAGGGCTGATGAGACGCAAAGGACAATGGCACGGGGGTTTGATCCTACGTAATGTGATGGCTTTGTGGGAGCCCAGCCAGTTTGGATGTTCACCTTCCTAGATATGGACGGAGGTGGGAGGTCCTAGGTCTTACCACAGGGCAGAAAACCCTGACTGGTCTTTGGACTGGAGAGGGAGGGGGAAAGGAGTGGGGGGAGGGGGAGAAGGGTGGGAGGAGGGGGCGTAGGGGGGGAGGAGGGGGAGGGAAATGGGAGGCTGGGAGGAGGTGGAAACTTGTTTTTTTTTCTCCTTTTCTCAATAAAAAAAATGGATTCAAAAAAAATAAATAAATTAAAAAAATAAAAAAGAAATGGATTTTTCTAATATTCTTAATAATAATATATAAAGGTTCTGGAGAGATTGTTTAGTGGTTGAGAGTGCTTGGTGATGTTACAGAAGAGTTCAGTTCCCAGCACCCATGTCAGGTGGCTCACAACTGCCTGTAACTCCAGAAGATCCGATGCTCTTTTATGGCCTACCCACGCTCGCTCGTGCTCTCTCTCTCTTTCTACCTCTCTCTCTCTGTCCCTCTGTCTCTCTCTGTCTGTGTCTTTAAAAAGTAATATATAAAGATCTCTTGCTTCAGATCAACATGGAAGTATTTCAAAGTTTACCTGCACGATCAACAAACTTCTATACTAACTCTCAATATAAGAATAGCATTTCTAACTAACTGGAGCATTTTGGAAACTATTTAGAGTAGATACTGAAGTTCCACCTGTTTGTTTTCCAAATATAAACATAAAAAACTTCGTTATTCTCCAAATTCCATCAATTATACTAATTATTTAACTAAAAAACATTTAGTACCAAAAACATAGGAATATTTTAGATCAATGTGTACAATATTAAATTATTTCAGCCTAATAAAAAGCAACTTGTACTATCACTGTTTTTCTAATTTTGCTGTTCAGATTTTATTTTTCTTGAGACAGGTTCTTCTGTTCACACCAGACGAGATTTGAAGTCATCATCATCTTGCCGCAGTCTCCTGAGTGCTTCAACTACAGGCATGCTACACACTATGTCGAGATCTGATTAGTTTTGAAAAACAATTATGCTTTAAAAAAACACAAAAAAACCCAATTATGCTTATGATTGGTTTATCTTTTACAACAACTAAAATGATTATGTTTATGATTGGTTTACCTTTTACAACAATGACATTGTCTGAATGTGTCAAAGATTGAGGGCGGCTTCGGAGTTTACTTTTGAAAGATCTTGGCCGACGTGGTGAAGCAGGTGATGAAGGAATCTCTGAAGATTGCACTTTGCTATCTTTAGTTGCTCGAAGGCGTTGATAGAGCTCCTGCAGCTCTTTATTCTGCTGTGTTTGAAGATTGACCACCTCCTGAATGTGTCTGAATAAAAATTATGTAGAAAATATTTGAATAATTTTGGTGCCATAAAAAGAAACTCAGGAACTTTGTAATGGTATAAATAAAACTTAACAAAACATTAATATTAAAAATGATGGAATGCAGAGTATTTTTTGTTTTTTTTTTTTGAGACAGGGTTTCTCTGTATATCTCTGGCTGTCCTAGAACTCACTCTATAGACCAGGTTGGCCTTGAACTCACAAAGATCCACTTGCCTCTGCCTCCTAAATCCTGGGATTAAAGGTATGCACCACCTCTGGCATCCCCCAGCTCAAATTTTTTTTTTTTGATACAAGACATCACTATATAATATTGGCTAGTTTGGAATTCAACACATTAGCCTCTACCTCCCAGGAGCTGGGATTACGGGCATGAGCAACCAAGCCTGACATCGAATACAATCTTAGCAATTATCTGTAAACTTCAAGAATACAGACCTTTTGCTGTGTGGTGGTGGTGCACACCTCTAATCCCAGCACTTGGGAAGCAGAGGCAAGTGGACCTCTGGGAGTTTGAGGATAGCCTGGTCTACAGAGCGGATTCCAGGACAGGTAGGGCGGTTACACAGAGACACCCTGACTCAAAAAAACAAACAAACAAACAAATACAGACCTTTTAATTGTATTCCACAGAAATCTCTCTGTGTGTAAAAAGATAAGCATATTTATATAATTAAATATGGAGAACACTGAAATATCTCTCAAGAAAGGATCAAATAAACTTGGATACATTCATACATTGGAACTGCATGCAGTGATATTTTAAAGGTAGATTTACACAGATATGAACATTTATAGACATCTTAAAGTAAAAAAATTATAAAATAGCATGATTGTTTTTTACTTTATTTTTATAAAGGACAGAAAAAGAACCAGCAAGATATATCCCAAACAGCTCATAGTGAGGCATAGCATGAGAAGTACAAAGGGTCTTTTGGTTTGCTTTCTCATTACTTTATTTGAACATTATCCTATGTATCACTTCCTTTGAGACAGGTTCTCACTATGTAACCTTGTTGGCCTGGAATTCACTATATAGACCAGACTGACCTTGAACACACAAAAAAAAATTGCCTTCTGAGTACTGGGATTACAAGTCTGTGTCACCAGGACTGGCCTTTATTTTTAAAATTTAACTTTTAAAATACAAACCCCCACATCTATAGATTATTCAAACTAATTTGGGCAAAATAATCTCAGCTTACTTTTATTGGTCTATAGTATCTACCAATTGTCTAGTAAAATATTATGAACAACCCATAACAAAAGAACACTAATGGGCTGGGGATGTAATCCAGGGGTTAGTGAGATAGAAGAGGAGAATGGGCACTCATTCCCTTAGCCACTGGGCAGGCTTTTAAACTCTATTAAAAATCTGTTAAAGTAGCTACTATTAGTGTTATTGATAAATTACGTTCCTATTCTAAGCACTCCTTCTGATGTTCATTTTCCTATTAAAAAAAAATCCCAGTTACTAGGCGACTATGCAATTTGACTCCCTAACTAGTAGCTTTTGGACTCTTCCTTGCTGCCCTGGTTGCTTTGAGTACAAAGACTGTCAGTCAGCCAACTGGACAATTCTTATGCTAACACCAGCAGTTTTGAACACCCCACAGATGCCTTGAGAAAACTACACAATGAACTCAGCTGATTGTTTTAGTTCCTAGGGGTTCAGTCTTAACAAGGACTGTTCCAGCGTGTACTCAACTTTTAGCTATCAAAAGCCTTGCAAAACTCTAGAAAACTCTGCAAACATTTTCATCCTCTCCTGCAAGGCCAGAGGCAGATGAAACTTTTGGTGGCCTACCAGAGAGACTACTGTGGCTGTGGCTAAAGGGATAGTGCTGTGAAAGATACACTGTGGTTGGTCCAAACACTCCCGCGGCTTTATAAGCAGGTCTTGTGCTGGCTTTTCTGGTGTAACATTAGGCCCAATACAAAGCTGCTTCTCCTGGGTGGTCTTGCCTACTTTCAGTAGTGTAGGCAGAGCTGGTAAACACAAAGAAAACAGCAGAGACAACAGAGGCAATGAGAGTTGAACAGTCTGCAGGCCTAAACTATGAAAGTGGCGATGCAGCTGTCTACTTGACAGCTGAAGAAGAGAGAGTTTGGTTGTCAGCAGGCTGAGCTTCAAAATAAGCAAGGTACAGCTGCTTGACTGTTGAAGAAGAGGTAGCTCAATAGTTTGAGAGAGGGGCCAGGCAGGAACTAAAGGGATAGTGAAGTTGAAAGGAAAGAGAGTTGTGGGTGAAAAAAGGATTGAAGGCAATAAAAAGCCAGAGAAAAGTAACTGCTGGTCCTGGTCATTGGAAGAATTCCAGACAGCTGTCAAACTTGAGCATGGAGGGTTTCAGACTGGCCATTGCCAGGGCCCGAGGAATCCTGATACCTGCGGCTGCCTATCCATTGTAATGCCAGCTGCTGCAAGGACTACGAATCCCAACTTCCTGGCCTTATGTAAGAACTCTAGCACTTTCAGAGCTGTCTTGCTACTAGGTCTGCACCAGAGCTGTCAATGGCATGGAACTTGCTATGTAGAACAGGCTAGTCTCAACTTAAAGAGATCCACCTGCCTCTGCAACCCAAGTGCTGGAATTAAAGCATGAAATACCACACCTGGTCCTATTTGGGGCTGATTTTTTAAAAAAAGATTTTTTTTTAATTTATGGGTGTGTTTGTATGAATATATGGCACAAATATGTAGGCCATCAGAACTCCTAGAGTTGCAGTTACAGGTAGTTGTGAGTCACCTGATATGGATACTGGGAACTGAAGAACAGGAAGTACTCTTAACTACTGAGTCATCTCTCAAATCCCAGAATAAAAAGACCCTTTTTGAGAACCTATATTTCATAAACAAAATTAAGTACTCATAACCAACATAGGCAGCTATAAAAGCCAACAGTCTTTTCAAAATGATTTAAAAGATTTATTGCCAGGCGGTGGTGGCGCACGCCTTTAATCCCAGCACTCGGGAGGCAGAGGCAGGCGGATCTCTGTGAGTTCGAGACCAGCCTGGTCTACAAGAGCTAGTTCCAGGACAGGCTCCAAAACCACAGAGAAACCCTGTCTCGAAAAACCAAAAAAAAAAAAAAAAGATTTATTAAATTCTTATAATCAGAAGGCTGAGGCAGTTCAGAGTTTGCAAACTTGAGGCCAGCCTGAGCTAAATGGCAAGACCATATTTCAGACAATAACAATATTCCATAAAACATAAATAGAATACTAACATCACAAATATTAAAGCACTTTAAAAATAAGTATTGTACTATAAAATATCTGTATACATAAACTACACAGTACTGAATATATAGGAAAAATGAAATATATGCAGTGTAATATCAAACATTTATACATGTGTATTTTAGTTAATTTTTAATCTTTTGCTATAGGCCGGGCAGTGGTGGCACACGCCTTTAATCCCAGCACTTGGGAGGCAGAGGCAGGCAGATCTCTGTGAGTTCGAAGCCAGCCTGGTCTACAAGAGCTAGTTCCAGGACAGGCTCCAAAGCTAGAGAAACCCTGTTTCGAAAAACAAAACAAAACAATCTTTTGCTATAAGAATTATTATTATGTATATAGGTGTATGATATATGTTTGTGGTGGCCAGAAGAAAATTTTCAGCAGTTGGGTCTCTTCTTCCACTGTGAATTCTGTGGTTTAAACTCTGCCTGCCAGGCTTGCATGGCACTTTTCAAAGTAGACCATAAATTTTGTAGAGGTGGTAAATATTTTTTGTTGGTGGTGGTAATTTTGTCATTGTTGTGATGGCACATGCCTGTAATTCCAGCCCTTGGGAGGTTCAGGCATCAGAGTCAGGAGTTCAAGATCTTAAACTTAGCAAGTTTAAGATTAGGCTGGTATATGAAACCAAATACCAAACAAAACAACATTAAAAAAAACCACTCTACATGATAAAACATATTGCTATAATATCATTAGTAAAACTTTATGACCTCATTCACTAAATAATAAGCTTGATCTTAGAAGGATCTTGTATTTTCCTAAAGATGAACTATTCTCTTTGACTATATAAATTAGCTATCTACTAATAAAAGGTAAGAATAGTCATATATTCGTATTCCAAGAGTACTAAAGAACAAGGATTGAAAAAAGTATGTATTCATCTTGGCATGTGCCTGTAATACCAGCATGAAGAACGCAGAAGCAGGGGATTACCACAAGTTTGTGGTCAACATGGATTAGCTCCATAGTATATTACAGGCCAGGCAGGCAGAATTGCATAGCGAAACCCTGTCTCAAAAAGCTGGAGAGATAGCTTGCAGTTAAGAGTTCTGGATACTCTTCCAGAGGACCTGAATTCAATTCCCAGCAACCACATAGCAGCTGGCAACTGCTTATTAACTCCAGTTCTAGTGGGATATCCAACAACTTCTTCTGGCTTCCATGGACACTGCACACAAAGGCCGCACAAATGAACATGCAGGCAAAACATCCAAACACATAAAACAATTTTAAAACTAAGATAAAACTATTTTATACGCAATAACTTTAGCATTCCATAAACATTTTAAGGATAATTATGTACATAAATAAATTTATCAGTTTTTAATCACAGAAGTTTTAATCATTAAAATACCACCAATATCCAATTAGCTACAGAGCAAATATTAAGTTCTATAAACTTGTAAACAATTAGATTTGTTACAGAAAAGAGAGCATCCTTACTTTTCTCGTAATCTTTGAAGCTCTACTTTCAAGTCCTCGTCCTCAATTTCTGATTCATCATCACTGCTCATTGGTGAAGATGGAGAATAGAAGAGTGAACTCTGTGTTTGAACATAGGCTTGCTCTTTACTGAGTGGTAAATACTGATCACTCTTTGAACCAGATTTTGCCACTGACTTTCCATTACCAGCAAGAGGGGCCGAAAATTCATAAGGCTGTTTCCCAGGAGTCAATTCCTCTGTTTCTTTATCTAACAGTTCAGACCCAGAATGCACACTGATTCCTGTAGTTGAAGTTTCTTCCAAGTTCTTTTCTGTAGTCACTGAAGACACACTGGTTTCACAAGCTGTGCTGAAAGATGAGAAGATGTCACCTTGTTCAGGCTCTCTTTTATCTTCTTTAAAAGTTTCATAAAGAGTTTGTAACTTTCGTGAAGAATCTGACGCTTTAGGAGTGGGCACGGCAGGTTCCACTTCGATCAACTGAGATACTGCAGTTTCAGCAAAGGCTGCTGCTTGTTCACTGGACTGGACTGTTGTTTTCTTGAATGGAGGTCTGTGTTCTTTTCCAAAAGACATCATTTTCACTGACTGCTGCTGAGGAACTGTAATCACCTGAGACAGAAAAAGGTAAACTTGTCTGGTTCTACTTAATCAAAGGGTAAACCTCATGAAGAAATTCATTGTCAAAACACAGCACAGACAAGAAAGGCCAATTTAACATATATAATATTTGGTAATACCAAAACTTATACTGTCACAGTCATTCAGTTGGGGCCTTTGGATAGAATAGCTTCATGTTACCCAAATAAAATTCTACTATGAAATTTGCTGAGATTCTAAAGGACATTAGATTAAATTGAGGCAGGAGAGTCAGCTCAGTGGGTAAGAATATCTGCTGTTCCAACAGAAGACCTGAGTTTGGTTTCCATCATCTATGTGGTAGCTTACAATTGTCTGTATTTCAGCTCCCAGGGATCTGATATACTCTTCTTGACTCTGTAGGCACCTCACATGGCATATGTCACACAGATACATACAAATGAATAAAAATAATTCTAAACAGGAAATTAAGTTGATAGAAATGATGACCCAAAAATGATTATCTATTTCTATCCTCTTTTGTAACTACTAACATCCTTATAATTTTCAGATTCATCTATAACGATAGCGTTGTAAGGAAAAAAGATATGACCAAGATAAAAATTAGGTATGAAATGATTTACAGTTCAAGTAAGGATGATTTGCAGATCAATTTCAAATGGTTTCACTTTTTTATAGTGTTGGGAATAGAACTTTGGGTCTCACAGATGTTGGGCAAACTCTCCCATGAAGCTCTATCTGTTTTCTTTCATAAGGCAATGGTAAAGAGACAACCAAAGACACAAACCTGGAAGCGGCCCCGCTGAAATGATCCACTCATTGCTTTACATCTACTCAAAGCCCTAGTATCAGCTGAGAACTCCCGTGGCAGAGGAATGGGATCAGAAGCAATTGCTGATCTTTTATCTTCTGTTTCCACTGTAAGGTTTGTCAAATTATAAGCAGAAAAGAGAAAAATCACTTTTAAGACTAATTTGTTTACATTACCAAAAATGAAGAAAAGCAGAAAAAGTTTAACCCTTGCTAGATAATTAAAAAGTGTTAATGTATAAGCAACATTGTTTAAGTCCCTAACTCTAAATCAGACATTGCAAGATTTATCCCGATACTTAGTATCTATATGAAATGAATAACTGAAAAACCAAATTAGTTACAAAAGGAAAAAATAAAATGGCCACAACACTAATGGGATATTTAATATATATGAGCTACATGGGAAAAAATGGCAAGATTCAAATATGGACGACAAAAAAAAAGTAGATGAAAAATGATGTTACCTAGTCTATGTCCCTGACTGTAAGCACACTACCTTGACGGACTTTTGATCTCTTGAAAAAGCTGGTTGACTGCCGTAGCCTGTATGCCCAGCTTTTTAATTTTCGAGTCCAGGATTTCCTGCTAATAGGATTTTTGAGACTAGGACAAGTAAAGCTTAGGCCAAAATATCCACCTCCTGTCTGCAGATGAATGGTTCCATCGCTTGACACAGCAGCAGGATAGGCCTCTGGATCCCCTGGAAGTGAAGCATCTGAGGACATCTCCTAATGGAGACAAAAATCAAAGAAAAACCAAGTGGTAATAATTTAGGTAAGGTGAGTTAAGTTTTGTGGTATAAAAGTTTTCTTAAGCCGGGCGGTGGTGGCGCACGCCTTTAATCCCAGCACTCGGGAGGCAGAGGCAGGCGGATCTCTGTGAGTTCGAGACCAGCCTGGTCTACAAGAGCTAGTTCCAGGACAGGCTCCAAAACCACAGAGAAACCCTGTCTCGAAAAACCAAAAAAAAAAAAAAAAGTTTTCTTATATGGATTAATAATTAACCATAAAACTATGGACTATTTCAGTAACAGTGCATATGAGACTGAAACCGAAGCTTTGATATTTCTTTGGAAATATTATGTCTTTAGATTAAATAAAAGACACTATTAATTTTCCAGGCCAAAATATTTGTTGTCATTACATCAAATTTGAAAACTAAAATTGAAAATAAGTTATTTTTTATATATGCCAATGACTAAAATACTAGTTTTTTGGTTTATTAGACACAAGATATCATGTAATTCAGGCTGTCCTTGAACTCCGGCTCCTACTGTTTTTACCTCCCAAGGAGTAGGATTTCAGGTGTGCAGTACCATGCCTGTTTATAAATGCTATTAAGTGAAATATTAGCTTATTCCCCTATTATTTAAGAGATAATTATGTTTGATATATGATACAATAGAAAAACAAGCAATTTAAAGCTGTTTAAGTAATAAATAGGAAATATGAAGAAAGTTTATTAGTTAATATGATCTCATAGAAATTTACAAAGAAATGAAAAATTACTGTGAATTCATGCTCTAAGAATTTTTAATATCAGATCATGTTTGCTATAAAACCATCATCTTCTTGTCCTCCTAACCTCCCCAAACACCCATGATTGCTTGTGTCTAAATGAGTGCTTCCTAAATAATCTGCGGTAATTAATACAAAAACTTAGTGCATAGAACCATAGATCCTTTGGGATGTAAAAATAACTATCCAGCGGTGGTGGCACAGGCCTTTAATCCCTGAATTGGGAGGCAGAGGCTGGCAGATTTCTGTGAGTTCTAGGTCAGCCTGGTCTACAGAGTTCCAGGATAGCAAGGGCTGACACAGAGAAACCCTGTCAAGAAAAAGAAAAAGAAAAAAAGTGGTCACTAATAACAGAGTATTAAAAGTGAATATAAAAAGTATATAGGGGAGGGATGTAGCATTAATCTAAAGGAAGACAGCCTTCCTACATGACAATAAGCACTATTAATACTTAAATCAGAAGTTATCAAAAGGGAAAATTTTGGACTAGAGATGTTCAGTTGATAGAGGGCTTGCCTAGCAAGCACAGTGCCCTGGGTTTGATTCCCAGAACCACACAAGGCATTCATGTACATACATCTGTAATCATAGCACTCAAAAGGTAGAGGTAGATCATTCGTGGTTATGTAGTAAGTATGAGCTCAGCCTAGGATACATGAAAGGTTACCTCAAAAAAAAAAAGGTGAAATTTTGAACAATCAGTAAGCAAGTTTCTGAAGTCCTATTTTGGGTTAGCAATATTATCTAAACTAGGAGATAAAAAATTGTAAAAATACTATGTTTCAGAAAGTGCTACACTGATGCCACTGAAATTATAAATGAGATATATATTTCTCATTTATAATAAGCACTTATTTAGACACAAATTATAAATATGTAGTGAATAGAACAAGATATATTTACCATAAATTTTAGTTTCCCTTGTAAAGTGAAATACTCAGACAAAACAACAGCAACAATAAAACTCCAGATCTAGACATAAGAATTTATGAAAGAAAGAAGAAAGGAAGACTGTACTATATGTATGAACTGTCTCAAAAAGACCACATACTCAAATGCTAGATATGAGCAGCAACAAAGAAATCTGGTCAACAAAAAGGATGCTTACAAAATTCCACCCAATCTTTTTCCCATATGTCTTTTCACTGTATTATGTTTTAAAATATCTTTCTACTTAACTGGCCTTCTTTTGATTCCTTGAACAAATACCTACCTGAAAATGTCACTACTATATATTATATATGTCTTTCCCTGATCACTCAAAATGGATAATCTAATTTATCATAGCCCTTAAATTATGTTATTGAAAGACTGTTAAATACTAGAATGTGAACTTCAGAAAAAGAGGTTTTGACTTACTGTTCAATAGACAATTTTTGAATGGAAGATTATACTGGTTGAGGTAAAAAAGAAAGAACAGTCATTCCCTTCTCTCTACACCAAGAAAAAAAATACCAGAACACCTACTCCCATAATAAGAATACAAAGAAGAAATATTTTGGACAAGAGAAAAGTCAGTGAGGGGCAAAGACAATATCTAACAGCCCAGCTGCCTTTATAGACTAGCTACAGCAGTTACCCACCAGGAAGCTTTAAAAAAATGTTAAAATGTATAGCACAAAAAAGTCTGTTTGATGTTTTTCTCACAATTAAAGATACAGTAATTATATAATAGCACATATGTACAGATGAACACAGAATCTTATGGGAGAAATTGAAAAAAAAATGAACACAGAACTAAGAATTAACAAAACTTAAAGAAAACTAACACTGAAAGAAAATACTAAACTCAGTGCTAGAAAGTGGCCTCAGTGGTTAAGGGCAACCAGGTATGGTTCCCAGAACCTATCTAGTGGCTGACAGCTATCTGTAACTCTAGTTTTAGGGTATCAAGCTCCTCTTCTGACCTCTGTGGGCTCCTGCACACACATGGCACATATACATACACATTGGGCATACATATATACACAGTAAATTAAATATAAATATTTAAAAAACAAAGAATGGATTACAGCTATTAGAAATTCAAAAATGCAATCCATGATGCAAAATGACTAAATAGGACAATATAATCATCTTAAAAATGGAGAAATTATCTCATTACAAAAAGCAAAGGGAGGGGGCTGGAGAGACGGCTCAGAGGTTAAGAGCATTGCCTGCTCTTCCAAAGGTCCTGAGTTCAATTCCCAGCAACCACATGGTGGCTCACAACCATCTGTAATGGGGTCTGGTGCCCTCTTCTGGCCTGCAGGCATACACACAGACAGAATATTGTATACATAATAAATAAATAAATAAATAAACATTTAAAAAAAAGCAAAGGGAAAAAGAGGAATGCATGATATGAAAAGTTAACATATGAGAAAAATAAGAAATGAACAAATAAAATTTTCTTCATTCACAAATGACAAAATTTTATACATAGAAAACCCAAAGCTGGGCATGGCGGTCCACTCTTTTAATCCCAGCCCTCAGGAAACATAGGAAGATGGATATCTGTGAGTTTTTGGCCAGCCTGGTCTACATAATGAGACCCTGTCTCAAAGAAAAGGTTCAGGGATAGGGAGATGGCTCAGTGGATGAATTGCTATGAAAGTATAAGGAAATGAGTTCAGATCCTCTGAGAAAAATGTCTAGCTACACTAGTCAATCAATGATCCTGCCACAACGGAATATGGTGAAGAGAGATTGAGGACATCTACTGTTAAACTCTGGCCTCGGTGTGTACTCACACACGCACATATGTGCATATACATGCAAACACATCCATAAAAAAAGAGAAAAATAAAATCCAAAAGAACCCACCCAAAACTATTAGGCCAATAAATAGACTCAGAAAAATTCAAGTACACAATCTTAACACATGAAAGTCAGTTATTGTTTGGATGAGTGGCTCACATCTATAATCCCAGTACTATAAAGGTTAAGATAGAAAGAGGTTGAGATAGGAAGATTACTATGAGTTTGAAGCCAAGATAGCCTGGACTACAGAGTGGATGCCTTGTACCAAAAACAAAAACAAAAACCAGTCAGTTGCATTTCTATATGCTAAACAATGAAGAATCCAAAGAGGAATTTGTTATATGTTAAATGTCCTCATCAAAATAATGTTAAAACTTAATCCCCATTGTGAGGCTTTGAGAGGCAGAAACAGGCAGAACCTTTAATAGGTAACAGAGTTATAAGGGGTCCATTCTGTTGAATGGCAAGGTAATGGGTTCCACAGCAGCTTTACGCTACATAGTAAAACACAGTCTTAAAAAGAAAAAACACAAAATTACTAAATCAAGAGAGGAACAAATATATGTATTATTTACAAGTTATTAATGATAATGACCAAAGAAACTACAATAAGAAACTTGTTTAGGAAATGTTAAGTTGTTTAGATTTTACTATTCATCTGAAATTCTTTTGTGCTTACATATTAATTCTATAACTTAAACTACTTTACAAAAATTTAAAAAAAGCAAAACAGCATATATACACAAAGGAATATATGTATATAAATATTACATGTATTTATGTTTATAAAAGGCATAATACATATGCAGAATTATGTTGGTACAAATATTTATACATTAACTAAAATCATATCTGGAAATGCCAACAGTTATGTTTACAGATTTGGGATGTGATAGATTTTATTTTGCACACAAGTATATATTATTTGGATAGCAATGATGACAAAAATTACAGTAGTAAACATTTACAAAGATCATGAGATGGTAAAAAAATTTCAGTTCGTTGACACAGTAATTATGTGCTTTTAGCACAATATTGTTTTGAAGAACATATGTGATATGCATCCAAATAGGGTTTGGAAAAGTAGGGTTAAGAAAAGTCAAGAAGGAAAAGCAGCAAAATTACTAGTGATTACCTCTGTGACTGAACAGGTAGAAAAGGGAAATAGGGCTAGGGGTATGGCTCAGTGGTATAGCACTTGCATGGTATGTATTTGATCCCTGAACTTAATAGCCAATACTGAAAAATAAAAAAAAAGACATGAAAAGAATAAAAATGGAGATATTAAGGTTCCTATATTATATAGGTGGCCAATCTCAACAAAAATCTAAAATCCAAAATCTGAAACTTTCTGAGTACCAACATGATCCTGCTAGTAGTGGAAAATTCCACATCTGACCAACCTCATCTAATGAGTTGCAATTAAAATAAAATGCATTAATAAACTATATAAAATTGTCTACAGTCTCTGTGTATAAATATATAAGAAACAAAAATGAATTCTGTATTTAGATTTGGGTACCAGCCCCAAGATACTCCATCTGGTATTTACAAGTATTCTAAAATTCAGGGAATCTAAAATGTGGAAAACTTGTAATCTTTCCATCTCAACTTTTCTGGGAAAAACTCTTTTTCTTCCTGCTCCTTCTCCTGTTTTTCTGAACTTATTTTTATTTTTCTAATTGAATTTATAAATACTTTCATACATGTTAATAATGAATTCTGATTACTCCACCCCACGTTCTCATTTCTCTCCCATCCCTATCAACTCCTCTCCCCCCAACAAGTTCCTTTGCCATGTTCATGTCTTTCCATTTATTTTGTGATCCACTGAGTTTAGCCAGGACCACCTGTGTGATTGTATGTTTGGTACTTTTCACTGGAGCCTGGCGGGTTCACCATGATTACACAACTTAAGACAATGACTGTCCTCTCTCCTACAATTTATCAGAAACAAATAGTTCAGCAGGCAATGGCCAGGATCTATGCGCTCCGCTTACATTCTATTTGTTCTTTTTCAACAAGGTGTCATGTAGTCAAGGCTTGCCTCAAACTTAGTATTAATTGAAGATGATTTTGAACTTCTGATCCTACCACCTCCACCTCCTTGGTGCTAAGATTATGGTATGGGTTACCATGCTTAATTAAATGTTTTACTGTTTAAGGTACTGGGGCAAGCACTCTATCACTGAGCTATATTTCTAGTTCTTTTAGAGGTTGAGAAAAAAGTCGTGGGATTATGGATGATTTTAAAAAATAAGTTAAACACATCAAAATATTAAATTAATACTGTAAAATTGTTATAAGGGAATGGACAACAGTTTTCTTTGTAAATTTTTCTTGTTTTGTTTTTAAAGTTTCCTCTCAAACTGAAATCAAAGTTTATTACACTTATCCTCAAAATAATCTAAAATTATACACAGTGTTTGCAAATTTCAAGCCAACTCACCAGAAGGCTTTCTTAAATAAACTCAAGGCAAATCTGCCATTTCTAAGAAGTTTTGAGTAGCTGCAGCCTAAGTCACAATCTTAAATGGTAGTTACTTTGGAACATTTTAGGAGAGAGGGCATTTCTTTAAATTCCATAAGCAAAGAATAAGAATTAGAAAGATACTCACATGTAAACATAACTCGCTGGGTACAGAAGTTATCACATTCAAGTCTTTTTTGAACACTGATATATTAGCAGGCTGACTTGCAGCTACATTGGACGGAATCTTAGAGCCTGTCTGTTCGAAATTTGGAGATTGTGTGGGACTATCTTGAATCCCACAGTGACTGACAGCTATGATTTCTGGCATTGAATAGGATAGTATATCTTCAGCAGAGGAAGAAAATGGAGAGTCTATGCTTTGAGTATCCTTCTGACTCTCAGGATAAATGCTAGAAATGCTGTGCTCCTGATAGAGCAGGTTTCTTAATTTTTCATCCAGTGTTTTAATTCGGTTGTCTGCAAACTCCATTTTTGGAGGTCGTTCCCCATCTGATTCCAGGACAGTAGCAGGAAGATGTGTAGCTGGTTCAAAGCCAGGAGTCTGAGTGGCAAGGACTGCCTTAGGAGAACTTGTTTCAGTGTTCACTGTGGTTTCTACTTCTTGGGAAATGAACTCTGCATCTATAGTTGGTTGAGGCTTTTGATCAGAAGATACAAATGCTGAAGTTAGAACAACATTATCACCAATCTGAACCGATTCACCAGGATGGGGCAGAAGCACATCAGCCAGAACAGCAGCTTGCTGACATGGATGGGTAGGTATGAACATGCCTGCTTGGCTGGTGAGTGCCTCACATTCAACTGAAACTGGACATACCAAAGTAGCAGAATCATTGGAATGATCAGTAGCTGGTGCCCTTATCTGTCTGTCATCTTCCACTTGACAGTGAATAGTTGGCTGCTCAGTTTCTCCACTAGCACATTCAGAAATATTACCATCAACCACATCCTTGTGTTCTGATTTAGAGGTGAAAATTACATGCTGGCCTGGATTATTCTCTATAGTGAACAATGTGTCCTGTGATATTTCCTGATTACTTGTGTTTCTTGAACCTGGAACAAAACAAAAGAATAGTTAAGTTTTGATGAGTAAAAAGTGTAAACACAAAACTCAAAAGGGACAAGGAAAGCTAGGGTCAAATTAGGACCTATTTAAAAGTACATTTGTAAATGAGACCTAAAACATCACAGAATTCAACAGTCAAGAAGAAATGACTTCTTGGTTTTTTTTTTAAAGATTTATTTATTAATTATGAATACAGTGTTCTGCCCACATACATGCCTCTATGCCAGAAGAGGGCACCAGGTCTTATTATAGATGGTTGTAAGCCACCATGTGGTTGCTGGGAATTGAACTCTGGACCTTTGGAAGAGCAGCCAGTGCTCTTAACCTCTGAGCCATCTCTCCAGCCCCCACTTCTTGGTTTTTTTTCCACAAAAACTGAATAAAATGGCCTGTTACATAGCAATATTAATGTCTTCTAAAATGCTCATGAAAACTTTCATAAGCATAAAATACTCCTAAAAACAAATTAATAAATACAGTCTGTAATTTTTAACCATATCATCCAAGTCCATAGAAATCTGGCAGACAATAAAGCTTACTAGAAAATGGATGTAACCCAGGAACTGTAGCCACAGAAGGCTGAAGGGAAGGAGGAGACTGTGCCTCACGATGTTTTATAGTTTGGTTGATACAAAACCGCCACCGACCAACTGGGGATGACTGAGGAACTGATTCATCTGGAGAAAGAATTATTAACAAATTATACACATAGAAAATGTCAGTGTGTTCATATTAAATAAAGAAATCAAGTTAAAAATTAGCTTGTGTTGCATTTCCACTTTCAAGAGAACAAGGATAATTATAAGTCATAAGAGTAACATCCCAACCTTGACAAACAGTTTACAGAACTAAATATAAGATATATATTAATAGTAACCAGAAGCAAAGCACTACATTTAAATAACTGGGTCATAGTTTCTCCATTCAAATCTACAGTTGTTGTTTTGCAACCTGATTATGGTTGTGCCTAAGTGATATCATGGTGGTATACAAGCATTAAAATTTAGAGAACTATAGACCAGAAAAAAAAGAGAAGTAAATCTAGCTTATGACAATATAAAAGTAAAGTAAGACAAATCCCTATATCTGTAACTTTCTCAAGTAATTTTCTTTGGAACTTTACCTTACGTTGTCAGTCAGACACTTGCTCAGATTTCTGCTAAGATACAGATGTACTCTGGCAACCTAATACAGTTTAACTAAATTTCAGGATAATGGTATCTGCTTCCATTATTTCCACACCACCTTTTGCTTCTTCATGCTATGTAAATTCCTTCAGATGTCTTCATGATGCTATGGTTCATCTCCCCCTCCCAGACACTCTTAATATACCCATGACCAGGGCTAAGAAGAATGAAGAGATAAAGTTGTCAGAAAAGAAAACAGAAAAACCCTAATTTTAGTTTCTGGAAGTTTATCTGGTGTCTGATTTACAAAGTTATCAGTGACCAGAACTGGTAGAAGTATTATCATCAGTGAAATAGTCAAGTTCTGAATGACTATTAAAATATGAGGCACAGATTTTAGTTAGGATACTTTTGTCCATCTCATGTCAAAGTAAACAAATTAGCAGTTAAGATTCAAATAGGCTGTCAAAGTCTTCAGCATTGTGACTTCCTTTTCTGGTAACATACCATGTAACAACTCAGAAGTAAATTACTCAGATAAAGAATCAATAATTTTTTTTTAAAATTTATGGGCTATAAATTTTTTTCAAGTGTGGAAAAACAATTTATTATCAAATTAATTTATTGGTTAATATCTTTATCTATGAAACTATATCAAGACACCAAAATGCCTTTTTGCAAAAGCCAAATGGTAAATTTTATTAAATATACTTACTGCTGGTTTGAGTGGATGCAGAATTTATCAGTACTTGTTCAGATGATCCTGTCTGAAATAAAAATGAACAGGTAAATAATGATATTCATAACAAAGTCCCCAAATGGCCTTATTACTTAAAAGTGCTCTTACTTGGTTACTATTGGATTCCAAGGCAACAGAGTCAACACCAATAGATTTTTCTGCAGCTGAGTGGACATGAAGGATCTCCTGGGCTTGACCTACAATAGCCCTCAATTCTTCTACAAATTTTTCTTTCTCATTTTCCAGCACAAAGTTATCTTCAACCTGCCATCAAGTAAAAGCCAATGTATTCATGAGAATACATTTATTTTCTTCAAAATTATAATATTTTCATGGTGAATTCCAAAGGATCAAAACAAAGTATGTGCCACAAAAATAATTAAGACCAGTTATAAACAGTTTCATAACGCATTCAAATATTCTGAGATCATTGATATTTATCAGAAAAAGTCACTATACTTTGAAATATCCTGAATTTATAAATTGGCTGCAATTTCAACTGAACAATGTGCACAGAATGTAAGACCTTGGAACACTAAGTCCTAAAAAGGTATCTTCATCAAGTCCCTTTCATCAGGGCTCAGGAAGCAGAAAGATAAGACCCATAAGGGATGGATGACACCAAGAAAACAGTGTCTTACAGACAATAGGACTGACACACATAAGAACTAACAGAGATGGTGGCAGCATGCACAGGGCATGCACAGGTCCAAGACAGATGGTGTGGCAGCACTGAGAGGGGGAAGTGGACACAAGCCCATATGACAACCAAGAAGCTATTTCCAAACTGACATCCACTTACAAAGGAAAGATTAGTTTTCTCCAACAGTTTCACTGGGTATATCAACCACACTTAAGGGTAGGATCCACACCTAGTAGTAGATAGGCAACACCAAAAACACAATGATATTTTATATCTTTTTTGTCGTCCCACATTGCTTTATTTGGGCATTTTTTGTTTTGTTTTGTTTTGTTTGGAAGACAGGCTCTTTTGACATAATCATGGCTGTCCTAGAATTCACTATGAAGATCAGGCTGACCTCAAACTCACAGATATCAGCCTGCTTCTTCCTTCAAGTGCTAGAACTAAAGACATAAAAGAAAAGCACTATTCTAAGCCTAATTATTAAAATCTATTAAAAAGTAAATACGGGTCAGGGTAAATGACAAAGTTGGTAAAGTGCCTTATGTGCAAGAATGGGAACCTGAGTTTGACTCTCTGGTATCCATAAAAAAGTCAGGATTGGGGGGCTGGAGAGATGGCTCAGCAGTTACGAGCACTGGCTGCTCTTCCAGAGGTCCTGAGTTCAATTCCCAGCAACCATATGGTGGCTCACAGCCATCTGTAATGAGATCTGGTGCCCCCTTCTGGTGTGCAGGTGTAAATGGAAGGAATGTTGCATACCTAATAAATAATAAATAAATCTTTTAAAAAAAGAAAAAAAAGAGAAAAAAAAGTCAGGATTGGTAGTGTGCATCTGTAATCCCTGCGCTGAGGACAGGTTTAGGGGTGATGGAGACAAGAAGATTTCTAAAACTCACTGGTTAGCAAGTCTAGCTGAATCAATGAGCTCCAGAGTCAGTAAAACACAAAATGAACACAATGATGTTTGACACCTTTTTTGTCTCACATTTCTGAGTAGGTATGGGTGAATGTACCCAAACACATACTTGCACATATATGATATTCATAAACACTACACTCACACTTATCATAAAGAAATAAAGTGGACAGCAGTTGAGGAGGTCACCCAATGTCCTCTGTACTTCATGTACATACCTATATAAACATGTACATACACCACACACAATGTATTCACACATTAAAAAAAATAAAACTAAATGTACTGAAAAACATAACTTGAATACTTTTGGGCAGAATGTTAGATACATTAAAATTATCTAGGTGGCCTGATTCTGATTTAATCAGGGGCCTATGCAATGAGATTATCATTTAAAGCTTATAATATTATTTAAACATATAGACAGAGATTAAAACATAGTGATCTAAAAACCAACAAAACAAAAAGTACCCAAAACCTCATATTTCCTCAGATAACTACAGTAAAACCAGAGGAAATGCAGTAATTTATCCCTGATAATCACTTTTTTCTGTGCAAATTAGAAAAAAACTACAAAAATAATTTAAAAAATAAAAAAGAGAAAAAAGAAAAAAACTGTACACATTCTATCACGAGATGGGTGTAAATGAATGAGTGAAGAGAAAACAGAGGGAAAACCAAATGGGATGAGAAAAAGGAGAGAGAATAATTCCACTAAGGGGAAAAATAGTACTGTCTTACTATACTGACCATATAGTCTGCAATATCTTCAGGTGCATCACCATCGACATCAAACTTGAAAGTGACCATCTTGTTGTTGTGTGTTTCTAGTTGACACTCCACCATGTTGTCTCCAGAGACTGATACCTAAGTACATACATTTAACCAGTTTAAGAGAAGCTGTCTTAGCTGGGGATGGAACACAGTTGGAAGAGTGCTTGCCTAGCATGCACAAAGCCCTGAGTTCCATCCCCAGCATCACATAAACCAATCATGGTAGTACACATCTGTAATCTCAGTACTTGGGAAGTGAAAGCAGGATTAGAAATTCAAAATTATCCTTGACTATATAGTAAGTTTGAAGTAAGCCTAAGCTATTATCAGACCCTGTCTAAAAACAATAAAAATGAAAATAAAATAAAAACATTTTGAGGGCAGTGGTGATAAATGCCTTTAATCCCAGAACTAGGGAGGCAAAGACTGGTGGACCTCTGTGAGTTCAAGGTCAGCCTGGTCTACAGAGCAAGTTCCAGGACAGGCCCCAAAGATACAGAGAAACCCTGTCTCAAAAATCCACCCCCAAAAACAAACAAATAACAGAAAAAAACCCCACAAAACAACAACAACAAAAACATTTTATAAGGAGTAACTAGATAAGCTTACATACAACATATTCAGCAACTTAAAGAAAGAATGGGAAAAAGGATGATTAAATTATATCTCTGTATAAGGGACTATGTATTACAGACATTTAAAATATATTATTCAAATTATTTACTGGCATCAGAAACATGTACATAATATATTGAGCTTTCAAAAAGAAGTGATATAAAACTGTATGTAAGTTTTATAATCCTACTGAAACATATATCATATTGGTTAGAGATACAGGCTTTAAATTCTGATCTGGCTGCAGATCTGACTCCAGCATTTGGTAGTTGAATGATTTTATGCAAATTACTTCTCTGGTGTGAGCATCTATATTTGTGAGATGGGCATACTATTTATCATATAAGGCTTTTGGAGGGTCATGATAATAATAAGTACATAATATCTGGGACACCTGCCGGGCGATGGTGGCGCACGCCTTTAATCCCAGCACTCGGGAGGCAGAGGCAGGCGGATCTCTGTGAGTTCGAGACCAGCCTGGTCTACAGAGCTAGTTCCAGGACAGGCTCCAAAGCCACAGAGAAACCCTGTCTCAAAAAACCAAAAAAAAAAAAATCTGGGACACCTATCACAAAATAATTCAATATATTTTTGCTAATATTAATGTCTCTGATAATTACTCAAATTAAATGTAAAACACTGCACATACACATAGATGAAAACTAAAAATATAGAAGGAATAAGCTCTGATTCATGGTTATAAGGATTTTAAGTTCTTCCTTTTATTTAACCCACAATTTCCAAGTTTAATAACTACAATGTAATGTTCTCATCAGAAATTTTGAATGGAATTTACAGAAGGTTTCATAATATTCTGAATTTACTTCATTCACTGCATTTACAGCACTGTTCCTCCCTGAGTCTCCAAGGCTCTAAAACATACACACTGACCTGAAGGACAATAAGCTGAAATTTAGTCCCCTTCTCTGGTCGGGGACAGGAGGCTCTTCTCTGTTTGATCCGATCCTGTTTGCCATTTCCATTTGGGTTATCAGGGTTATTAGTGTTTTCTTTCATAGTTGTCACATCTTGATTCAAGCTAGTGATTTAAAAAAAAGGTAACTCATTCCAATAATGATCATAAAAATCTATAGAAAATTTAAGATTATAACCACTCGGAAGGCAGAGGCAGGTGGATCTCTATGAGTTCGAGGCCAGCCCGGTCTACAAGGGCTAGTTCCAGGACAGGTTCTAAAGCTACAGAGAAACCCTGTCTCGAAAAAAAAAACAATAATAATAATAATACACATAAGTACAAGTAGTATAAGATTACACATTAATGCTCATGGGGCAAAGGACATAACTCAGAGGTACAGTACTTGTGTAGCATATACAAGGTCTGGGTTTCATCCCAAGCAAGCCCTTCCAATACAACCTTCTCCTGGAGTTCTTAAAAAATAGAGAAGTGGGGCTGGAGAAATGGCTCAGCGGTTAAGAGCATTGCCTGCTCTTCCAAAGGTCCTGAGTTCAATTCCCAGCAACCACATGGTGGCTCACAACCATCTGTAATGAGATCTGGTGCCCTCTTCTGGCCTGCAGACGTACACACAGACAGAATATTGTATACATAATAAATAAATAAATAAATAAATAAATAAATAAATATTTAAAAAAATAGAGAAGTGGCAGCAATAGGTAATAATCATTAGAGGATAAAAAAGATATAATTTTAGCTCATGAAGTAACAATTTACATAATCAAAAGTTTCCTTAAAATACTAGTTTAAGACTAGAGTGCTGGTTCAATGTTAAAAAAAACATTTACTGGCTCTTGCAAGGACCTGGGATCAATTCCCAGCCCCCACATGTGAAGCCACAGTGCACAACTGTCTTTAATTCTAGTTCCACTGAGTTCAATGCCTTCTTCTGACCCCTATGGGCAACAAGTACACATGTGGGGCAAATACATATATGCAGAACACTCAGAAGCCTAACAAAATAAATCTAAAATATAGCTTTTGGAACAAAATGACAGAAACTCAACTTTTCTTGCTCATTTCCCCCAAGTACAACTTTAAAAGTTCTAGAAATAATAAACTAGACAATCACAAGAGCTAACCAAGACTGAAAAAATAAAAGACTATATAAGAACCCTAAAGACTTGAAAAACAAACAAACAACAGCAGCTTGACATCTCACAATTATCTATCCATGACAGAAGGCTATCAATCTCAGTCTCATATATCCACAGTACATCCACAAAAGAAACTCAAACCTAATGTCTCCTGACTCTAGCCCATTAGCCAAAGATAGATTCCTTCTTTCCTAGGAGAACTGGGAAGAGCCTCATCAACAGAATATGGACTAGATTTCCAAGAGGAAAACTCTACCCATGGTAGTACCCAATGGTGTCAGGTGAACAAAGCAGACCAGAATAGTACAAGGACTCTAAAACTAAATTTTCATTGGAACCACAGCCTGTTAAAGAGTGAGCCAGAACACATGCAATTAAACACAGGGAATGTTTAAGAAAACAGAAGATTTAATTAGAATCTATACTATCCTAACATAATGCCTAAAATATAGAAATAAAAATCAAATTCTAGTCTTACCAAAAATGAAACAAATTAAAAAACAAATACCCAGGAAAATCATAACTTGAATGCAGAAAGACAATCAACAGACATAAACTTCTAAGATAAATCATAAATTGAAATTGTCAGACAAGTCATAATCAAAATGATTCAGTGGACTAGAGTGCAGCTCAGTGATAGAGCACTTGTTTAGTATGCACAAAGTCCTGGGTTTAGTCCCCAGTGCAAAGGAAAAAGAAATTAAAAATGGAAAGGAAAGCCAACTTCAGCAAAAGACTGAGTGGTAATGTGCTCATGTAGCATGTGGAAGGACCCACTAATGAAAAGAATAAAAACAAAACAAAACTTCAACAGGCAACTGCAACTGCATTTGAAGCAAATGAGAAAAATAAAGTCAATGAGAAATAGAAGATTAAAAAAGAATCAAATGGAAATTATAGGACTAAACATAGAATCACAGAAATAAAACTTCACTGAATGGGAAAAAATGGTAGAATATACAGGACATAGAAAAGAATCAATAAATTTAAAAAATAATAGAACTTACCCAATTTGAATAATATATAGAAAAGATTATCTTAAAACTACCAATAATGCAATTACTTATCTTGCTATCATCACTAAATACTTAAGGAATAAAATTCATCACAATTTTATCAATCCTATACAAATACAAGAATAAAAGATTACTTTATTCAAGGGACTTTAAGCATACAATGATATGTGTTAGCATGCTACCACTGATTTCTAGGTATGAAGATGATGATACTTACCTTGGAACAAAATCTGGATTTTGAAGAGCTGCTTGTTGTTCAGCTCCTACTGGTTGGGACACAGGCTGTAAAGGGAGCAGTAATAACACCTATTATGGTAACTGCAAAGTTTATGCTAAGACATAAATGCTACTTCAAAAACCTCATTGTTATATTTCATTTTTTAACTTTGTAAATAATGTAAAATGTCTTTATTATCCAATGCCTATATCAATCCTAATACTGACATTAATACATCAAGTATCTCTTACTCAAGGCTTTGTCATTAAAAGTTAACAACAGTGTTTCGGAAGGTGTGGTGGTGCACTCCTTTTAATCTCAGCATTCCAAAGGTGGATCTCTCTGAGTTGGAGATCAGCCTGTTGTATAAAATGAGTTTCAGGCCAGCCAAAGCTATACAGTAAGATCCTGTCTTAAAAAGTTATAAATAAATACCTCTTAATACTTTTAATTCTTGTTTTATTATTACAGAGAACAGATGAATCCTGAGTTACTGCAATTCCATAAGAAAATAAATCAATGAATAAAATGTTTCTCAGGAAATTGGGAATCAGCCCACCTCAGGATCCAGCAATACCACTCTTGGGAATATACCAAAGATATGCCCAATCATACTACAAAAGCATTTGTTCAACTATGTTCAGAGCAGCATTATTTGTAATAGCCAGAACCTGGAAACAACCTAGATGCCCCTCAATGGAAGAATGGATAAAAAAAGTGTGGAACATGTACACATTAAAGTACTACTCAGCGGTAAAAAACAATGACATCTTGAATTTTGCGTGCAAATGGATGGAAATAGAAAACACTATCCTGAGTGAAATAACCTAGACCCAAAAAGATGAATATGGTATGTACTCACTCATTAGTAGACTCTAGCCATAAACAAAGGACATTAAGCCTATAGTTCACAAGCCCAGAGAAGCCAAATAACAAGGTGAACCCAAAGAAAAACATATATAGATCCTCCTGGAAATTGGAAGCAAACAAGATTGCCAGGCAAAAGTTGGGAGCATGGGGGTGGGGGTAGGGGTGGGATTGGACGAAGGGGAGAGGGGGAGAGGGAAAGAAGGGAAAGTCTAGGGAGAGCTTGTGGGAAAGGGAGGGTGGAGATGGAGGAAGGGCAGATATAGGAGCAGGGAAGAAGATATCTACATTAAGGGAGCCATTTTAGGGTTGGCAAGAGACTGGGCTCTAGAGGGGATCCCAGGTGTCCACGGGGATGTCCCCAGCTAGGTCCCTGGGCAGCAGAGTAGAAGGTGCCTGAACTGTCCTTGCCCCACTATCACGCTGATGATTATCTCAAATATCACCATAGAATCTTTGTCCAGCGACAGATGGAGATAGAGACAGAGACCCTCATCAGAACAACGGACTGAGCTCCCAAAGGTCCAGTTGAAGGGCAGAAGGAGGGAGAAGACAAGCAAGGAAGTCAGGAACGGGAGGGGTTGTTCCACCCACTGAGACAGTGTGCCTGTTCTAAGGGGAGCTCACCAAATCCAGCTGGACCAGGACTGAACGAGCATGTGATCAAATCGGAATCTGATTGTGGCTGACAATGGGGGCTGACTGAGAAGCCATTGATAAAGGCCCTGGGACTTGTTTTTACTGCATGTACTGGCTTTTTGGACCCTAGTCTATTTGGATGCACAGCTTCCTAGACCTGGATGTAGGGGGGGGAGGTCCTTGGACTTCTCACAGGGCAGGGTTCCCTGCCCTCTGGCAAATCGAATCCAAGAACACATCAGAACCATCATCCACCATGATCAAGTCTGCTTCATCCCAGAGATGCAGGGATGGTTCAACATACGAAAATCTGTCAACATAATCCACCATATAAACAAACAGAAAAATACAAACCAAATGATCTGGAGAGATGGCTCAGTGGTTAAGAGCATTGCCTGCTCTTCCAAAGGTCCTGAGTTCAATTCCCAGCAACCACATGGTGGCTCACAACCATCTATAAAGACGTCTGGCGCCCTCATCTGGCCTTCAGGCATACAGACAGAATATTGTATACGTAATAAATAAATAAATATAAAAAAATATTTAAAAAAAAAAACAAACCAAATGATCATCTAATTAGATGCTGAAAAAGCTTTTGACAAAATACAACATCCCTTCATGATAAAGGTCTTGGAGAGAGTAGGGATACAAGAAACATACCTAAACAAAATTAAGGCAATATACAGCAAGCCAAGAGCCAACATTAAACTAAAGGAAGAGAAACTCCCAGCGATTCCACTAAATCAGGAACAAGACAAGGTTGTCCACTTTCTCCATATCTATTCAATATAGTTCTTGAGGTATTAGCTAGAGCAATAAGACACCAAAAGGAGATCAAGGGGATATAAATTGGAAAAGAAGAAGTCAAACTCTCATTGTTTGCTGATGATATCATAGTTTACATAAGTGATCCCAAAAATTCTACCAAGGAACTTCTACAACTCATAAAAACTTTCAGTAATGTAGCAAGATACAAGATTAATTTGAAAAAAAATCAGTAGCCCTCCTGTACACAGATGATAAATGGGCTGGGAATCAAATCAGTGAGACAACACCTTTCACAATAGCCACAAATAGCATAAAATATCTCGGAGTAACTCTAACCAAACAAGTGGAAGACTTATAGGACAAGAACTTTAAATCTTTCAATAAAGAAATTGAAAAAGAAACCAGAAAGTTGAAAGATCTCCCATGCTCTTGGGTAGGCAGAATTAACATAGTAAAAATGGTAATCTTACCAAAAGCAATCTACAGATTCAATGCAATACCCATCAAAATTCTTCACAGACATCGAAAGAATGGTACTCAGCTTCATGTGAAAAAGCAAAAAAAAAAAAAACAACCCAGGATAACCAAAACAATCCGGTACAATAAAGGAACTTCTGGAGGCATCACAATCCTTGACTTCAAACTCTACTACAGAGCTACAGTACTGAAAACAGCCTGGTATTGGCTTAAGAACAGACACGAGGACCAACGAAACCGAATAGAAGACCTGGATATCAATCCACACACTTTTGAACACCTGATTTTTGACAAAGAAGCAAAAAATATCAAATGGAAAAAAGAAAGCATATTTAACAAATGGTGCTGGCATAACTGGATATCAACATGTAGAAGAATGATAACAGACCCATATCTATCACCATACACAAAACTCAAGTCCAAATGGATCAAAGACCTCAACATAAAGCCAGCCACACTGAACCTTATAGAAGGGAAAATGGGAAGTACACTTGAACACATTGGCACAGGAGATCACTTCCTAAATATAACCCCAGCAGCACAGACACTGAGAGAAACAATCAATAAATGGGACCTCCTGAAACTGAAAAGCTTCTGTAAAGCAAAGGACATGGTCAACAAGACAAAACGATGACAGCCTACAGAATGGGAAAAGATCTTCACTAACCTCACATCAGACAGAGGTCTGATCTCCAAAATATACAAAGAACTCAAGAAATTGGACACCAAAAGATCACATAATCCAATAAAAAAATGGAGTACAGACCTAGAGAACTCTCAACAGAGTAATCTAAAATGGCTGAAAGAAACTTAAGGAAATGCTAAACATCGTTAGTCATCAAAGAAATGCAAATCAAAACAACTCTGAGATTCCTTCTTACACCTGACTCTAGAGGGGTTCCTAGGGGTCCAGAGAGATGTCCCCAACTAGGTCCTTGGGCAGCTGAGGAGAGAGAGCCTGAAATGGCCCGATCCTAAAGCCATACTAATGAATATCTTACATCACCATAGAACCTTCATCTGGCGATGGATGGAGATAGAGACAGACACCCACACTGGAGCACTGGACTGACCTCCCAAGGTCCAAATGAGGAGCAGAAGGAGGAGAACATGAGCACGAAGTCAAGACCTCAAGGGGGGCACCCACCCACTGAGACAGTGGGGCTGATCTAATGGGAGCTCACCAAGGCCAGCTGGACTGGGACTGAATAAGCATGGGATGAAACCGGACTCCCTGAACATGGTGGACAATGAGGGCTGCTGAGAAGCCAAGGACAATGGCACTGGGATTTGATCCTACTGCATGTAATGACCTAGCCTGTTTGGATGCTCACCTTCCTAGACCTGGATGGAGGGGGTCAGGGCACCCTGACTGCTCTTTGGACTGGAGAGGGAGGGGGAGGGGAGTGGGACGTGGGGAGTGGGGGGAGTGGGGAGGTGGAAATTAAAAAAAAAAAAAAGAATGGCCAAGATCAAAAACACTGATGACAACTTATGCTGGAGAGGTTGTGGGGAAAAGGGAACACTTCTGCATTGCTGATGGGAATGCAAGCTGGTACAACCCCTTTGGATGTCAGTGTGGCAATTTCTCAGAAAATTAGGAAACAACCTTCCTCAAGACCCAGAAATACCACTTTTGGGTATATATCCAAAGGATGCTCAATCGTGCCACAAGGACAGGTACTCAACTGTGTTCATAGCAGCATTGTTTGTCATAGCCAGAACCTGGAAACAACCTAAATACCCCTCGATTGAAGAATGGATAAGGAAAATGTGGTACATTTTCACAATGGAGCACTACACAGCAGAAAAAATAACGACATCTCGAATTTTTTAGGAAAATGGATGGAGCTAGCAAACATTATTTTGAGTGAGGTAACCCAGACACAGAAAGACAATTATCACATGTACTCACTCATAAGTGGTTTTTAAACATAAAGCAAAGAAAACCAGCCTACAAACCACAATCCCAGAGAACTTAGACAACAATGAGGACCCTAAGAGAGCCATACATAGATCTAATCTACAAGGGAAGTAGAAAAAGAGAAGATCTCCTGAGTAAATTGGGAGCATGTAGACCTTGGGGGAGGGTTGAGGGGAGGGGAGAGGCAGGGAGGGGAGCAGAAAAAAACATAGAGCTCAATAAAAAAGACTATAAAAAACATTAAAAAAAAACCCCTACTTACCCCTACCACACAAATTAGAAAATAAAGCTAAAGAACTGTTTAATATTAAAACAAACTTTTAAAAAGGCTCATAGATTTCTAATAATTATATGAGAAGATATTCATTGTCATTGCTTGTCCAGAAAATG